TGGTGGAGAAGAAGGACATAAAAAAACGTCAACGAGAGAATCAGAAAAATCTGTAAAAAAAATCGAAAACAATCGAGAACAAGCCGACGTAGAACATGAACTATTGACCGACCGACAAAGGTCTTTTCGAGAGAAGGATTACGATGACTCATTGAACCATCCGGAATTGAGTGAGCGCAGCCTCCACATAAGTGGCCAAAACGGGGAAGAAGCCTATCTACAAGATAAAGGCAGAAGAAAGAGGATATACCGAGAAGAAAGTGGACGTCCGGTATGGGATCATCCCGATAGTTCGGTAACAGAGATAGACGCCTTAATGACGAAAACTATAAGAAAAGGGTCTATCGTACAGAAATTATCGAATAAAAAGAAAATAGGTGGCAATGGACGAATTGGTTTGAGAAAAGTGGGTAATTTCTCACCTGAATCTAAAGATAATAGACCATCATTGCAGACGAGAAGTCCAACTGTTTTATACAGAGAGGACGGCATAAAAAATAAAATTAAGGAACATGGTACAATGAAGGAAAAATCACGTGTAAAAGATGAATACGACAAACACTTAAAACTGCCTTCTGTACCTCATAAGAATGTATACCAAAATATAAACGTAGAATCGAGTGAGGATCTGATAGACGGAAGTTGTATAGGAAGCATGGCTCAGCCTGTACGAGATGATGTAAAACAGAAAAAGTATGAAACCGGTTCAAGCAAAAAACGAAAGAGCGACGAGGCCAAAGCAGGTTCATCAGTAAATCGGCCCAAGATTGTAACAAAACATGACTCTACAATGGCGAATACTGTAAGAAAATCTTCTTTCGATCACAACGCACTGAATGAAAACGTGTCAAATGACGATGGAAAAGTTGTTTACAAGAGTTCTGGTAATTCCCATTTTATGTCCAATGGAGATAGATCATCAATTCGTACGACAAGTTCAACTCGAATTTTTTATGATGATCAGGACCTTTTAAAAGGAACGTTTGTTAATGAAGATTCGTCTTCCCAAATGTACGAAGTGGACAGCAATGATAAAAAGTTAGCTAGAAAAGAAGGACCGTCCGCTGTACCTCGTGAGGACGTAACCGAGAATCTGTCAGACGGAAGTTATACAGAAAGCGTCGGTCAGGGTACACAAGCTGATGCGGTTCAAACGATATCCTCTGAGACCGGCTCAACCGAAAAGCCGAGCGAGGAAGAAGATCATCCGGAAATAAACAAGTCCGACAGTCCTGTAGTAGATCATGAAACTTCAATAACGGGGCTTATAAAAGATTCTGATTCCGATCACAAAGAATTAGATGTGAGCATGCCAATTGAAAACGAACGCGTTTCTGACAAGAGTGCAGGTAATTCCTTATCTACGTCAATTGAGGATAGATCATCAATTCAAACAACGAATTCAACTCGCGTTTTTTATGATGAACCGAACCTTTCAAAGGGGCCTTTTGTTAATGAAGATTCAACTTCACAAATGTACGAAATGGGTAGCAGCGTAAATAAGATGTACGGACGCGGTGTAAAGAAGGAACAATTATCAAGAAAAATAGAATATGACAAGAGGTTAAAAACGTCTTCTGTACGTGGTAAAGACATATACCAGACCAGTAGGAACAAAAACCAGATCGAGGCTAAAGGCCGTTCGGTCATTCAGCCCAAGAGTACTGTAACAAAGCATGGCGCAGTGAAAAACATAAAACAAACGACTTTGGATTACAAAGTAGAGGATAAAAACAAGCCAAATGAAGAAGGATACTTTGATTTTAAGTACGTAGGGGTGAATTCCCAAACTAAGCCCAATGAGGATAGAACATCAATTCGAACGGCGAGTTCCGCTCGTGATTTCAATGACGAACAGAAACTTTTTAAGGGAAAGATTGTTGAAGAAGTCGAAGATATGCCTTCTCATACGAACGAAGAGGAGTGCGACAAATACGTATCCGAACCTGGCGCAAGTAATGAGATAGTCTATAGAAAAGAAGAAAATGTCAAGGGACTAAAACCGTCTTCTCTACATGATAAGGTCGTTCCCAAGACAATTATCGAAGAAGCGAGTGAGAATGTTTCAAAGGTAAGTTCAACCCGAAGCGGCGGCCAACCGAGAGATTATGCGAATAGAACACCCAACGAGCAAAGTTCAACAGAAAAACAACATTCGAGAAGAAACAGCATATCAGATGAAGCATATCAATCGTCTGATCGCCAAAACAAGAGTAAAATCCGAGAAACGGAACGAAAAAAAGAAAATGGAACAAAAAAGGAACTCTCCCCTCCAGGCGTTGCTATGAGGTGCTGCTGTGGCACTGTCTGCCCACCGCGGAGTGCCGATCTTCAGCAACGCCGTTCCTCTTCGCGAAACTGGGACAAATGAAATCGAAACCGGCAAACAGTTTAAACAAACATGTAAATACATTTTTGGACGGTTTTTGGTTTATTATTTCGAATTACAGACTAGTAAATATTTTTTGAAGTTTTGATGTTTTTTTTGTCTAGTAGTACCAGGTTTTTACCCGCGCCTTTGTCTACGGGGGACTCTGTTTTAATGTACCTTTCTAATGCGATGCAGAGTGCTAAAATGGGTTCTAAATATCGTTTCTGAAATTTTTCCTCATCCAGTTCACTTGGGTCTACAGCGGTAAAAAATCGTCCATATGATCCCTCAGGGATGGAATTTCAAAAATCCTTTCTTAGCGGTTATCCATGTATATAGGAATGCACTGTCGAAATTTCAGCCCTTTAGATCCAAAGGTTTGGTCTGTGCGTTGTCTGTCAGTCACGGAACTGTTTTATACATGGTGTTACAGGTTTAAATGTCTATATTGTCATGATGGATTCACTAAATGAAACAGTTCAGTGCCGCCAGAACAAGGTTTCTATCTTGTCTCTTTCCTGAGATATTAACATTTTTGTGACTTTAGTCTAAAATCAGATTTTTTTTTAAACATAAAATCGTAATTTCTCAACTTCAGCGTCATTAAAATACAAATCTGACATGGCCCATGTATGAATTATTTTTATGAAGTATGAAGGTGGTATAATGAACCGAATAGCCCTTTACATGTGAGTGAACAGTTTGTTGTGTAGAGTGGAAAATTTTCTTGTGTAATATTTTTTTAGGAAAAGGATGTTTCTGTATATGGTGATTAATGAGTACTCACTTGCCTTCGTTGAATAAACAGTAAAGTAAGGGTGCTAATTGAGAACTAGTACTTAGTAATGAGTATAAAAGATAAACAAAGAATCCTAGCACAGTGTTGGAATAATCACCCAATGTAACGCATCTGTACTGAAGAGGGCACGAGTAAAGGATTCGAATATATTTTGAACATTTTCTTTGTAATCATTATTATTTTATTTGTAGAAATTCGTACATAATGCAAATGTGATTGAAAAACTTTTTTTTTACACGGTCACAACACTAACACTAATGCCACAGCGCTGCACCCGTAGGACATATGCCTTGAGAAACCAGGTAATCGACGTGGCGGGTTGAATGTGTAGCGGGGGTTCGGGCAGTAGGGTGAGGATAGGATGGATCGAGAGGTTGGTGTGAAACTTTCGGAATCGGGAACGGATTCGTTCGTTGACAAAAGGATTGTTGTGGATAATTAGATTAGAGATTATTAATAAGGAGCTTTGACACTTTGTCTGAGAACTTTTCATCGAAATGATTGGATGCGCTGGATGTTGGGTGGCTTGGCAGAATCCCACAGCTACATTCCAAAGTGGTCGCAGTAAAGTTTTGTATAACGTGAGTTCAGTTTTAACGGTCAAGGCAGATTTTGGTCCTAGAAGTCTTCGTAGTTGTCAAAGTTTTCTGTTGAGTCGTTGTCTCCTGTCTAGGTACCGAAGTATTTGACTTGAATGGAAGTCGGTATCTCTTAGTTGTTGATATACAATGGAGGGCAAGACTGTTTTTTCAATATGAACGTACATTTTTCTTCATTAAGTCTTGTCCTCCACTTTTTGCACCAGTCTTGCTTAAGCTTAAGTCAACCTTGGATGTTGGAGGTAACTTGAATAAGATTAACAGTAGAGGACAAATTTGCGGTATCGTCCGCGTAGGTGGTGATGACGGTATTAGGGTGTATAGGTAGGACAGCAGTATAAAGGATGGGACCGAAACTGCTCCCTTGTGGGACGCCGGCTTGTATATGTCTGACTTCCGAGACCTTGTTTTGAAAGTAAAACACTAGTTATCTCAACGAGCCAGGTCGTTCACTGTCAAGAATATCAACACTTCCAAAAATAAAGAAATATTAAAGTCTAAATTAAAACCAAACTAAAAAATAACTAAATAAAATAAAAAAAAACCAAACTCTAAATTAGATATGCTAAATTAAATTATGAATTTAGGATAATTAATCTTAAATAAAATCAAATAGATAAAATGTTCATTTAAAAGGTAATATAATGTTCCTGTTCCATGAAACATAATAGCACTAGAGTGTGAAGAATCCACCCAGTGGTGACCATTCCCAATATCATCAGGTGGCAAGGCCACTGCCGATTTAAATTCCCGGGATGTTTATTGGCTTAATTGACTTTTGGATCCACTAATTCCGTCTGTAAAAGAAGGAGAATGTTTCATCGACAAATAAATCAAACTCCGTGATTAGATCTCGCTGGAAAAGCGCGGACTTTGCAGGAGGCCACCGTAGACCTAGGTGACCACTTGTATCATCAAGTATTTGGTCCGGGTCTGGAAATGTGTTGCTTCACTTTTTTAAAGTTCCTTCTAGCTCAATCATCGTGCAAGAGGCAGTCAATTTGGTGTCCTGTGACTGTACCGGTCCTTCATATCCTTCAAACGATTGTCCAGCAGGACACAGATTGTTCGAGCATTGTACATTTTTACATACAAAATTTTATAGAAATAAATATTATTTTTCTCTAACCACCATCTTATGTGTTTCTTTTTTCTGGAACGATACTGCCAACTTGCAGGTTAAAAAATAAATAACCGAAATCAAGATTACATGTGAAAATTTTCATTGCAGGCGTCTTTATTTGATAACATGATGGACGACATTGCTGAATGTAAGAACTCGACTAACATTTCTGACGGTAAGTTTATTTCTCCATATTCTCTTTATAATTACACGAAACAATCCACTAAACGAGAGGAGTTGCGCCGTTTTATCTGTCAGATGAGATGACACGAATTGCCGAAAAGAAGCTGCCAGAGACACCCGAGGGAAAAGTGAGAATTATGCTCTTTTCCCCGGCGAACCTTTTCTAATCACTTTTTTCTCTTTTAGTGTATGATATTTTGCATCATGCAGAAATTCGACTTGGTATGAAAACAGTAATTTGATCGTTTTTCCTCGTTAAACACATTTTTCTCTTCAGGTCGATGAAGAAGGCAAGATGAACGTCGCGGGTATGAAAGCGATGTCTCAAGAAACCCCAGGAATGACGAAAGATGACTTACCGAAGCTTGATGCCGTCATGGACCAGTGTGATGCCGAGGGTATAATTTGAAATAAAAACTTAAAAATATATTCGACGTCGTCAATTTTTTTACAGTGGCTACGAAATACAAACCTGTTGTTGAGGATGTCGATAAGTGCGAAAACGCCTGCACAGTGTCTGAATGCGTTGTACGGAAATCCAAAGAGGTGCATGGCATAATTACGCCATCGACGACATTTGGTTAACTACTTTTATGCTTTTTTCAGGCCGGAATCAAAGATCCTACTGCATCTTAAGACGTGTTAAACCCGGCTCGACTGCAAACTGTAAAATCACAAATACATATTATGTTCTTATGTACAACTATACAACTGCTATTTTTAATACCAATTTCCAACTTTCTAGAATTAAGCTTAGCAAACCGATCTCTCCATTATTTTATAAATTAGTGCAATGGCTATCAAGAGACAAGTTGTAAAAATTAATCTGCTTGAAACATAATCCAAGGTACAGTTCAATGATTAACTCAATGTATGTTACCAGTAATTCTTGTAATAAAAAAATGACATTTATTTATTTTACGGTTTCCCAGTTTGGAATATATACAATAAAACTATAAAGATTATAACTGTACATAAATTTAGAAGTGTCTATGATAAAAAACAAAACAGTAACAAACAATTTAAAATTAATTGAATCAATTTAAATGAATTAAAACTATGTAATTATTAATTATAACAAAAATCAATATTAATTAGATACATTAATGGTACAATATTTAATTTTCTAATGATAAAACGTGCTTAAATTTACTTAAACTGTCATTAAATGTTATGGGCCTCTCCGTGTTTTCCTTCTTTTTCTCTTCTTTCGCGCATATTTTATTTTAAACTTTGAGCCTCTCGATCTGGTTACTGACTCTCTGATTTCAAATATATACTACGTTGATATCCTAGAATGCTAGTCTCTCGTTTGTACCTCAGGTTGTCAAATACAGAATAAGAGCAAAAAATACAATTTATATATAAATCACCTCAAACATAGATGTCTGGTAACATTCACTCCCCCAGATTATTCGATATTCCTCGGTGCGGGGTTATAAGCAACCCCTTCCTTTCACGCTAATAAATTACTAATAAATTTAATGGCACGAGAGGGATTCGAACCCACGGCCTTCGGCTAGATACGCCGCTGCTCTACCACCTGAGCTATCGTGACCTGGATCCACTCGGACATCAACTCCCCATCTCAACCCCACCTTATGAGTTTTCCCTCCCTAATCCAAACCGATTACACGACATTTGAAAAATGGCAAAAGGAGGGATAACTCATAAGGTGGGGTTGAGATAGGAAGTTGATGTCCGAGTGGATCGAGGTCACGATAGCTCAGGTGGTAGAGCAGCAGCGTATCTAGCCGAAGGTCGTGGGTTCGAATCCCTCTCGTGCCATTAACTTTTTTTATCTCAACTAAAAACCTTAATTAAGTGGGAACATAGTTTAGAGGAATATTGAGCACCCATCGACTCTTACTCTTATCCATGTTAATTGCAAAACTGTTTTCAAACATTATCAATATTAGTTAAACCATAGTAGGATTAGTTAAATATTAGTTAAATAACAAAAGAAGACGTTAAGTCAGACAGACATAGTATTCTTCAATTAAACAAAAATTAAATCAAGGCAGCATATGAATAATTGTTATTTATTGTATTTCCAAATATATGTGGTTGACAATTCTTCCTCCTTTAAGTTCATTCGTTACATATGGTGTCCCTGAAATGGAACAAAAGTGGGATTTATGCATTTTTGTTAATATTTCATATGTGAAGGTACAAAAAAAATCAGCCCATCAAAATGTAGTCACATTTGTTACACCTAAATTTAAAAAACAACAAAAAAAAAAACGCAAACATCTAAATTCGATTTACCTGCTGGTGCAGCATGGCCCACCGAGAGGAGGACGTTCGCCACGACGGGTCTCGGATTTGCTCCGGGTTGAGGCCTTAGCTGAATGAATCCGAAATCCCGGCTCCTTTGTCGCAAAAGCGGAAGGCAAGTGTTTTATTTTATGAAACGACTTTTTTCTTTTCCTTCTTCAATTTAAGTTGCCACACAAACAAAAAGAAAATGGACAGTTTCGGAAAACACTGAACCCGACGCTTTTCGGACGAGTGGCTTCGCATCGAGAAAGAAACACCAGTTTGCCATCGCAAAGCAAGAAATCAAATCTTCTCGATTGTTTCCCCGGTAGGTGACGAAAGGAGAGAGTGCTCAACGTGTACAATTTAAAAAGAAATAGTCTGGAAATTTTGAACCGTTTCGAAAAAGTGAATAACAAATGATTACGTGTGAGAAATTTTGTCAATTTGAAATAAATCATTTGTTCGAAATCGAATCAACTGTTTCAATAAACCATCTATGGGCCATTATAATCTTCATATGTACACGTCGATATATTAAAAATATAACACTAATGGGTTCGAAGAATAGCGTGTTGAAAAATAATAACACACCCTCCGGAAAAAATGAAGGAAACACTATTCAACACGTATTCAAAAAAGGATACCCCGTTAGTAGTCCAAATATTCCTGAAAAACCTTTCGTACCAAATTGTAAGGTGAACGAAAAAAGCCACGAAAACGTTGGCAGTTTCAGCGAAAAATCATTCCACATAAAAGATAGTAACGTTTCGAATATTAACCTTAAAGATTGTGGAAATCTTGTTTCTGAAGTCGGATTTGGAGGTGACATAATAAATATGAAAAAACCCACAAAAAAACATGGCTCTAAAAGTCGTTCTCAAATCAGTGCTACGAATAAAGGAAATGTTCATATTTCTAAACCATCTATAAATAATCCTCAAAAAGTTTTGGCAAACAACGGGGATACTACAGGAAATAAATATGGAACTGAAGAAGAAAAAGAACCGCCCAGTTGTAACACTGATTCGTCGGACCTAGAAGCCGATGAACTTGATGACGAATTATATTATTTGATATTTGGTGAACATTTCAACAGCTGCCAACATCCAAAGACAGAATGTCTTCCTCTTAGTCTTAGCGAAGAAATATTAAATTACATAGATAAAAATCAACGGTTCGTTAACGATGATGAATGCGGGTTTGTTAAGAAATGTTTTATGGAAAACAAGTTCGGAAAGAGCAACAATAGAATGATTAACCGGACCGACGTTTTAGACAAAGCCTGTTCGACGAATCCGGCTTCGGATATTATCCGTCCTAACAGTCTAAACGTGGCATTCATTAAAGGAATGATTTACAGAAGGGAACTGTATGGTCCCCCTATCGAACAGGTTGGTCAAGCGGGGCCGAGCCAGCCGCAAGTTCCATTCGGTACTCAAGAATACGTGATAACGAAACGATACAATTACGGCAGAGACGATCCCCAAACATCAATGCCAGGTAACAGAAATTTTGGGTGCTCGTGTGCAGGGTCGTGTAATAACGATTTTGGAATGCGACTACCACCAACTACAAATCAATTGTCTCTATTTGACCAATCTCCAATGGAAGATCACAGCAGTAAAAATGCTGTAAAACTAGAGGATGTCACCGAAAAGAAAATTTTTAAACTCAACCAGTCCAACAAAACTTCTAATAAAAAGGTATCTGGTAAAAAGAGGAGCTTAGTGAAAAAGGTCATTTCCAAAAAGGGCATCGGGAAAAAGACTACTACCGCACTAAAACCAAAGCCACTCGCTTCACAAAAAGGAACCGAGAGAAACATTAAAAGAAAACAGTTTACAAAGAATGCCACCTCGGCAAAAAAACCGACAAAGAAAACTAAGAATTATAGTCGAGCTAAAAACGTGGTTTCTGACAAAAGTGTCGACGATGAGCTTCCATCCACTAGCAACAATTTGTGCGGATGCAAATGTGAATGGCCTTGGGGTAACGATTTTGGACAGTGCCCTCCATGCCCTCCAAATCATTTATCTTTATTTAAGCAACGATTTATGAAAGAGGAAAATTGTAAAAACATAATAGCACGAGAGAAACAGAATGAAGCTGACGATGAAAAGAAGAATTTTGACTCGGTCAAAGGTTATAAGAAAAAGTCTAGTCGAACTATGATTGAGGAACCTAGCAGAATTGACGACGAAGTGGTAAATTTGGAACAGTTGGACAAAGTTAGTAAGAAAAAAGCCGATAGAGAAAAGAAACCCGCTACAGCGATGTCAGAGTCACGAGCTTCAAAGAAAAAAAAATCTAGCAAAACTACAAGAAAACAAGGTGAAATAGACGAGAATGCGTTTATAAAGTTTAAAAAGAAGTCTAGAAAATCAAAGGAATCGTCTCCAAGCAAGATTGAGGATGATGAGCTTCGTTCCATGTCTAAATCATCATTAAAAACTAAAGTAAAACCTGTCAGCATACCAAACAATAATGTTGTTGATCTTATTAACAAAAATGATTATGGCAAATCAGAAAAAGAGGGGATATCAAACAGAGTTGGTGCCACAAAAACTGATGATTTGAAGTACGATATATTGTTTAGAGACGATGGAAATATAAAAGTTAAAGTGGAAAAATTTATTTCTGGAAAGAGTAGGGTATTCACCTACAATTCAGGAAACGACTGCGAGGAAAAGTCAAAAGAAGAAAAAACCAACCAAACATTGCCGCCTCAACAGAACACCAAAATATCCGAAATTGCGGATTCACAAAAACCAGCGAAAAAATTAAATCTTCAAGTTACAATCCCTAAAAGTCTATTCAAGCAAAAGAATATTACGAAAGTTAGGTCTATTGACAATAGCATAAAGAAATCCAGTTTGGGTCTATCGAACAGTTCAGCCGTATCCAACGATTCTTCTTTACTTCATCCGAAGGCTACAACGACGCTCAACAAACCTGCTTTTGTGCATCCTAGCGCTCTGGCCGCTCACACAGATAAAGATGATGCTGCGAATAAACGGGATCAAAGAAGGAAAGACACAAACATAAGTTTCGAAGAACATGTAAAACCACATCATGATTCAGAAGTGCGTAAATTGAGTCCCTCAATGTTTTACGAAAGTCTTCACCCCATTCTTGAAGAGTACCACTCAAGGGATGTGGGTCCGCATGAAGATCCAAATTACACAGCTGAGGTCCATACAGAAAAATGCGTTGTGGAAGGGAACAAAATAGAATGTTTAACATCAATTCCTCACGTTAGGGCCGTTTTTGAAATACCAGGCACCCATGCAAAAAAAACTGAAACATACATTGCCACGCCGAAAATTGCTCCTTCGCAAAACGACATCCATGTTGACGTTGGGCTAGACAGAGTGGGTCCAAAATTTTTGGAACAAATGGGACATAAAGGAGTTCCATACGGCTCTATAAAATCCAACGAAAACGTATTGGTTAAGGGAGATTCACACAATTTTGTCCCTAAGCCGGATCATATGGAGGATGAACACTACAAAAGGCCCCTTAAAGTTCTCCAATATAGGCCTTCACTACATTCCGTTGAATCGTCACAAATGAATACCGTGTTTACAGAGAAAAAGGACCAACTAAATGAGCCGAATAAATTGAACTCAAAACTATACGATGCCAACAAATTGTATGAAATTCAAGAATGCCTTTCTAAAATGAAATTAGAATTAAGAAACGATTGTCCTTGCTTGGCAAGCAGCTATGAAGTCACAAGGAAAAACATAGATAAAGATTCAAAAAGAAAGAACGGAAGCAAGGAATGGTATACCGAGTCCGATAGCGGCAGTGACAAGAAAAAAGGAGATCTTCATAAGCTGGCCACCGAAATGTTGGAAAATAAACAAAACCAAAGTAAAAAGAATATCTCCATAATTGAAAATGAAGAAGGAAAAAAATATCTTGAAGATCGAGATCCGAACCTAAAGCAAAAATATTTTTCTGGTTCAAAACAACCCCATGACGATTCCTTGGACTCAGAAAATATCAAGCGGAAAAAATATGTTCAGTCGATAAATGATAAATCGAAACTTCGCGAGAGTAATGTAGCTAACTCGAAATCTTTAAAGAAACCTAGTCTTGATCAAAATAAACCGAATGATTACGTTACTTTCAAGAATGCAAGTAATGGTATTAAAGATGCCGACGGAAAAAAAAAATTAAAATTTCGGAAGAGACAACCAACTGGTATATTTTTTCAAGAGCTGAACCTTTTGAAAAGATCGATTCTTGATGACGACTCTGTTTCCACAACAAACGAAGAGAACAGCAGAAGATATAAAAGGTCTGAACTCTCGGGTGTGAATAAAAATGGATCATATGGGACGCGTATAAATAGAAAAATCAGCAAAGGCCGTTCGACAATGAATCATCCGAAGAGTACTGTAACAGATATAAAGTCATTCGGTAAGAAAACGTCGGGTAAAAAGAAGCCAAGAAAAGATGAACGCGTTGCTGAAAGTGATTCCACATCTGACGACGATGAGCATATTCTGTCATTTCGGAAGAGACAGCCGGCAGGTGTTTATCATCAAGGTAGGAACCTTCGAAAGGGAGCGACCTCTTATAACGATTCACGCAAGTATAAAGCCAAAACAATAAAAGATATAAATGAAGGGTACTCCTCGACTAGCCGATTAAATACAAGAAAAAAGAAAGAATATTCCAATACAACGTTTGAAAAAGAAATACCTCGTTATTCAAGTAGAGTGCAAAGGAAGACAGAAAGAAAGAAATTTTCTAAATTTCTCGATATGTCAAACGCTGATACATTAAACTCTTCGGATTCAACAACTGGTAGTAGAAAGCTTGCCAAAGTTGGTCGATTAAAAAAAGGCAAAACAGCTGAAAGCAAACTAAGAACTCCGTCTGCTCGTCCCAGAAAAATGAGTCAGGAAAAGAATAGGTCCAATGGGGTTACCGTCGACAAATTATGGGCCGATCATAGATTAGAGAAATCGATTCTTACTGAAAGATTCAACCAAACCAAAAGAATATTAAACTCGAAATGCCCTTCTCCGGACATGGCGATGAAGTGCTGCTGTAGCCCAGTGTGCCCGCCGAAGGTTTTGATATGCCAGTACCGCTGTCCTTCGTCATACAGGCCGCCCTAATGAAATCGTCACCGGCTACCAATTTAAACAATGCACATGTAAATACATTTTTAGATGGTTTGTATTTATTTTAAATTATACATTCTTAAAGGTTATTTGGCTTAAGCTACAACTTCACTCTAATTGCCGTGGTAATTTTGTTTTATATTCATAAATTTAGATAAATCCACACACGGTTCAATAATTGTTTGGTTATTTAAAAACGTCGTGGAAAAAAGAATTTTTTATATAGCTAATTAACTAATTAATAATTTATAACAACAGTGCAACTAAGTAATAATGAATTGTGTAAAGATAAAAAGTCAATGGCACGAGCGGGATTCGAACCCACGATCTTCGGCTTGATACGCCGCTGCTTTACCACTTGAGCTATCGTGACCTCAATCCACTCGGACACTAACTTCCCATCTCAACCACACCTTTTGAGTTTTCCCTCCTTTTTGCCATTTTCCAACCTTAATTAATCGTATGATATTAATTGGTCAAGTGGACCACGAAACTAGTGAATTTAATGAATTAACTATGTTGATCGATTAGAACGAGGATATGTAAAATTCGAAGCAATCGAGGCAAGGAAGACACAAGATGTGTCTTTCATGGACGCTAGAGGATCTCCTCCAAAGAAAAGAAATGCAATGGGTAGTTGTTGCCACGATGAAGAAAGCCCCAGCCTAGGGAGTTTGCAAAAGGTGGGTGCTACCAAAAGCACACCGGGCAGCCAGTACTAAGTAGATGAGTTGAATTGACACTGATCAGTTGGCCACGAGTCAGTTACAGTTTAGAGTTTGGAGTTACTGATCAGTTAGAAATCGGATATGAATGCGACAGTTATTGATAGCAAAACGGGAGAGGAGTGTTGCCAATGACTTTGGTGTGAACCAATAATTGCACAGACTTTCCGTAAAGATGTACTTTATTTACTCAAGTGAATATATTTACACTGATTGCACTCGGGCAAATGTTACTTAGTTCACAATCACAGGAGATCAAGCTCCCCTCTGGTGCCGAGTGAAGAACGAAGGCTCGACAAAAGATGCTGTTGTCGCCAGGTCAAAAAAGAAGAACTTGGCCAGAATGCCCACAACGGAAATAGTATTTTTAAGCTTATCCTTAACATCCGCTCTGTTATATTTTTCTGGAGTAACGTTAATAACATCAACTTAACACTATTTCTGACCATTTTTTCTCGTGCTACTTCCAACTCATCTTGACGTCTATCAATTTAGCTGTATCATTATATGGATGGTATAATTGCTCAATCAACGGTACAAGTAGAGATTTGAGATAGCCTTTTGATAGATTCTGTAAGAATGGTCGTTGCTCGGTGCTGTTAATATCGCCGCTATATCAACACCCATTTTCGGAAAATCACTAGTATATAGCAAGTGAATTATAGGATCTAGTATGCTTCTTTTAGACACCATCGTATTTATTTTTCTTAGTCCTTAATATTAATCTTTTATACCCCTAACAAACCTGTCAATTTTCACGGATGGCTCAAAGACAATGTATGGCACGAAGTATGATCTCCAGCAAGAAAAAAAAACAAAATGTATAAAGTTCCGTTAAATTTGAGCAGTTTTTCAGCTAACATAGCAATTTATAAAGCTATTTAATATGAAAATCAAAACAACGTGAATTGCTAAAAGATTTTAATAATGTCAGACTCGAGTAGCGCGGTGGACGGTTTGAAAAATGTAAATTTTTTTATGGTGTCCATAATAAGATGATGGGTATGAAATAATCTTTTCCACAGTAGATGTAAAAGAGAATTTATTTCCTACCCATCATCATATAGATATTAAATTTGTGAACAGTTATTTCATCACAACAAATATTATTTTTTCGTTTTGGAAAAAATAAAGGAATAAAAATTACATTATTTTGGGTGAGAGGACACTCGGGTGTCTAAGAAGGGTAGTATCTTACTATTCCTATCCCTTTTCAAGACGAAAAAGCATCGGGTTAAGATCAAAGTACCTCCATAAACCCTAATACTAACAGGATCCCTGGTTCCACTGTTGCGGCATGACAAAAAGGACTGCATAATAAATAACAAGGCTCAGAGCAAATCAGTGGGGTGTATCTATACGAAATCAGGCAGAGCGATGATAAAAAAATGTGATAGAGGATGATTCCGGAAGTGCTGGAAGACATAATATTTTGTTCAAGACATACAGGTCAGAGAGAAAATTGGTTTGAGAGAATGTTCTGAAAGAGGAGCGGTCAGAAACTTTTCATTTATAAAAGCTTTGCTAGCAACAAATGATCGAGAAATATATCGTTGTACGTTGGATTTTATATACTGGTGCGCGCGCGATAGTGATTTGATATAGTTCTGAAATGTTTTCTTGTTTTACATTTGTAGGCCCTAAACCTTGCGTTGAGGGGAGGTCTTCGGGAGGGTGTCTGGGGGGCGGTCTGTCTGGCGGTTTCCTTTTTGGCCGGGGGAAGAGTCTCCAGAAGGAGTTTTGTTCCGGGTCTCCACATTAATTCAATGTTGGTGGTTTTATTCAATTTTATTAACTTACGTAAGACCCTCGTTACGCAAACAAGAAAGAGATTGATTATATTTCTTCAATGAACGGCAGTCCCGTTGATCCTGTCGGCTAGGTAGGTGTCTCATTGGAAGTCTAGTCGTTTTCATCCTCTCATTTGTTTAAAAAAATTAATATATTTTTAGATTTGATTAAAGTATTGTTAGTTTGTTGGTTGATAGTTGCTGCTTTATATCCAGTGACTAATATGGTAGCAATAAAATAACAAAAATACTATTATAAAACAGAGTAAATAATATCAACTGAGAAAATATTCTTATTACGTTATCTATAAAAATAAGAAAAAAATTTTAATGAAACTTTCTCCACAAAGAAAAAGAAAAATTAGTATTGAGTAAGTGAACTAAATAGATTTTTTTAAATTATCTAATAAGTAGACCACCAGGTGAAGCGTCACGGATGTAGGCCAAACATTTTTAGTCATCAAACACTCCAAAATATCGGACACTAGTTTCACCAATAAAATTGAACATTGAAATTTCCTGTTGTTTAATATTTTATTTATTTCGCCGTTCTACTTGCTCAAATGAACTTTGAGAATATATCATTTTACAGCATTTTTTATCTAGGTTGCAATATTAATACAGTAAAAGTTATCAAAGTTTATCAATAACAAAAAATTCTAAAAACCAAATATTTTTCAAGTAAACTAAACCATCCAATTTCTTCGTTAAACTAATATGAAGTTTCGTTTTAGCACTTCTAAGAGACCTCTAAATATAAAGTTTTAATTGAATTTAAATTTATCGATTTTTGATCCTTAAAAATTTTCCGACTAGCCAGTCCTAGTGCAAGCATCATTTTTCTCAAAAGCTAGTGAACCAATTTTCATGGTTGATAATTTGTTTAAAAAAATTCCTGTGTATTTTATTACTGTATCAAACATTAAAAACGGGGTTAATTTCTGACAAATAATTTTGCTATTATGTGAATTTTCTAATAGAAATATTTTATGTATTTTTATGGTACATACATCGTCAAAAAGCTATTACTTTTCTTTCAAATGCTCCGTTTGACGTTAAAATCCTTTTAGGAATTTTTGAAATATAGTTTATTCATTCAATCAAATATTCCATCGACGACTTCAAAAAAATCGAAAAAAAATTCAGAAGTAAAAAAGTCGATAAATTTAACTTTAAACAAAAATTTATATTATCTGTAGAGGTGCTAAAACGAAATTTCATATTAGTTCCAGGAAAAGACGGGTCTGGACAGCGTCGCCGTACTCGAGGGGTTAGAAGGGATGATGCTTGGCCGGGTGTCGAGCAGAGTTGGGCAAAATCTAACTAATTCAATCATGATTAAGAATTTTGATTGAAGTTTAATCATGATTGAATTAGTCATGAGTAAATTAATCATTATATGATTTAATCATAATTAATTCAATCATGAGGTCTGACTAAATCATATAATGATTAATTTACTCATGACTAATTCAATCATGATTAAACTTCAATCAAAATACTTAATCATGATTGAATTAGTTTGATTTTGCCCAACTCTGGCTACAATGACCAACTTACCAAATTCCAACCTACTCCGGATAAAAATTTTGAGATGAGAGTCGTGCTCAAGGCCAACCTTCAAAAATTGTTATCATAGACGAAAACCAAAGTTACATAATTATTCTACATGTCTATTTTATTACGATCAAGACCCCTAGATGGAGTATTTTCCAAATAATGTAGAAATCTCTCCTTTTAAGTGGAATAAATTTTAATTCAAAAAAATATTTTTTCCATTGATCGGTTATGTAAACATATTTAATTTTCAAAGCGTAGCTTGTTATAGGATTTTTTTATTTTATTATTATTATTATCATTATTTTTTGGCTTTTCATAACGACGAAGTTTTACTTATAATTGGAAGATTGATTTTTGTTAAATAAGATGTTGAAGGATTTTCGTTTTGATGAAATCAATTTCTGTTATAAAATTTTTTAAAAGTGATGAAGTGTATTTTTCATTTTTTGAGCACCCATTTGAACATGATTTATCGAAATTTAGTCATGACTAACTATATTGTGACTAAATTAGTCATGCCTCGTATTTAATTACTAGTCATGACTAATTTAGTCATCAATCACATATGGCGACTAATGACTAAATTAGTCACTTACTACAAATCATGACTAACGGTCTGAGTGATCAATCATTAATCATTTGACATGACTAATTTTTGCCCAACACTGGTGTCGAGGCTGGGCCTCAAGCCTCGATAGAAAATGGACCTGGTCAGGGGATATATGATTCCGAGGAGGCTCTACCGTCTGGTGAGACGATACCCGTCTATCACTGCGGTGCCTAAGCTCGCTGGGGTCATTCGGCATTGCGTGAAGGAGAACTTTCATCTGCGACCCACTCCGAATGACCTCATATACGCCAGCAGCAAAGACGGCTGGCGCACGCGGTCCCTGTGTCACATCTACCCGCCGGCCTGCCTCTTGTTGACAGTTCTGACCGATAATATAACAATTTATTTCAGGGCTTTGATCATAAAATTTAACTAATAATTTATTACATTGTTTTGCTCATAAAATTACACCATTTTCGAGTAGCGTCAGAACCGGACACATATTTTTTGTAGTTGTTTTCAAACTATGTATATGTAATTTCGTGGTTATATTAATTACAACAAGCTTATTTTAATGTAAACCAAATTAAACAAGATCAAAAATTCATGAGTTTTTATAAAAATTATTTAATTATGTCGGTTAGGAAGAAAATTTTTCAAAACATCGGAATAACTTTATTTAAACCAATTAAATTTAACTAACAATTTAATATATTGTTGTGCTAAATAAGGGTTGTTATATTCAACTAATGTTGTTCATACAGTTGCGATTAGATTTAGCAATCTTAAAGCAGTGAAAAAACTAGAAAACGGATGTGTAATTAGAATTTATTGTATTTTAAAATGTGCTTGACAACTCTTCCTCCATTAAATTCATTCGTTACATGTGGTGTTACTGAAATTGAATAAAATTGGATTTATACATGTTAGTTTTGTTCATATGTGAAGGTACAAAAAATCAGCCCGTCAAAATGTAGTCACATTTGCCACACCTAAATTTAAAAAAACAACACAAGCATCTAAATTCAATTTACCTGCTGGTGCAGCATGGCCCACCGAGAGGAAGACGTTCGCCACGACGGGTCTCGGATTTTCTCCGGGCTGAGGCCTTAGCTGAATGAATCCGAAATCCCAGCTCCTTTGTCACAAAAGCGGAAGGCAAGTGTTTTATTTTATGAAACGATTTTTTCTTTTCCTTCTTCAATTTCAGATGCCACACAAACAAAAAGAAAATTGGCAGTTTCGGAAAACACTGAACCCGACGCTTTTCGGACGAGTGGCTACGCATCGAGAAAGAAAATAGTTTGCCATCGCAAAGCAAAAAGTCAAATCGTCTCGATTGTTCCCCGGTAGGTGTCGAAAGAAGAGATCGACGGACGCGTACAATTTATATAAAAAATGGCCTATAAATTTTGAACCGTTTCGAAAATGGGACTAACAAATGAATAAGTGCGAAAATAAAATGCTGCCGTCTATTTAAAATAAATCATTTGTTCGAATTCGAATCAACTGTTTCAATAAAGCGTCAATGGTCCATTTTAATATTTACGTGTACATGACGATATATTAGACAAAAATTCAAATGGGTTCGAAAAATAGTGTGCTTAAAAGAAATAAAAAAACCTCCGAACAAAATGGGGAAAACACTATTAAAAATGTATTTTTAAAAAGGAACCCTGTTCGTACAGAAAAGGTTCATGAAGATCCTTTGGTACCAAATTGTGGGGAGAACGAACAAGCCCACGAGAGCGTTAGCCGGTGTGGGAAAACTCCGCCAGAAGTACATGACAATTGTATAAACTCTGAAATCCTTTCAAAAGATAAAGTGTCCGATGCCGACCTTACGATTTGTAGAAATTCAATCTCCGAATCTAGATTTAGAGATGAAATAATAAATGATCTAAAAACGCCAGCAGAAAAACCTGAGCGTTCCAAAAGTTGTTCTCAGATCATTGCTACGGATACAACCAACGATCAAAATGTTAAAACTTTAGAGCCTTCCTCTAGAAGTAGTATTCAAATAGTTTTGGCGAACAACAGGGACACCTCAGAAAGCCAATATGGCACTGAGGAAGAACCCCAACCGACCGGTAGTGAGACTGATATGTCTGAGGTGGATGTCGATCCGTCCAACCCGTTCGATCTTGACGACGAATTATATTTTTTAATTGGTGGAAATTTCAACGATTGTAATCATCCCATACCAAAATGTCTCACTCCACGTCTTGGCGAAAAAATATTAAATGACGTTGGAAAAAACCAACCTCTCATTTCTGTTGACGTTGACTTTGCTAAGAAAGGTTTTGTGGAAAGCACTTTTGGAAAGAGGAAGAATAAAATGATAGAACAGTTTATGTTAGACACAGCTTGTTCGATGAGTCGAACTTCGGACATGGTAGGACCTAGAAGTCTAAACGTAGCCATCGTCAAAGGAATGATTTACAAACGGGAACTATATGGTCCCCCTGTCGACCAGCCTGGTCGAGCTGGGCCGAGCAGGCCGCCGGTTCCCATCGGTACGGAAGAATATGTGATAACGAAACGATTCAATTACTGTAAAGATGATGCTCAAACGGCTGACAAGAAAGCGTTTGGATGCACATGTATAGAGTCGTGGGGTAAGGATTCGATGCTGAATCCACTATCAAATATCAATCAGTTGCCCTTATTTGACCAACCCCTAAGGGAAGAGCAAAATAGTAAAAGCGTTATAAAACTGAAGAAAAAAGGTTCAGTCAAAGATAAAAAAGTCGAACTGTCGAAAAAAAGAAGTAAGAAAACGGGCTCTGTGGCAAAAGGTTCCGCCAAAAAAGACTTTTCAAAAAAAATCAGTTCAAAAAAGGGCACTTCGAAAAAGATGTCTAGTTCAGAGAAGGCGATGTCCCCTTTATCGCAGAAAGAAACTTTGGGCAAAATAACAGGTAAAACATCCAAAAACGTTGCGAAAGGAGTAAAAAAACCGAAAAAGACTAGTCGAACTGATATTCTGACTCCAAGCGAATGTGACGAAGTTGAAATTCCTTCCACGTCAAAACCAATTAATCCGAAAGTCAAACCTACAGTAAAACCTACAGTAAAACCAACAGTAAACCCTACAGTAAAACCTACAGTAAAACCAACAGTAAACCCTACAGTAAAACCTACAGTAAAACATGACATTAAAAATACAAATGATCCATCAAATAATGTTAATTTTAAATTTAACCAAAACGATAATAACTATATGTTTGTCAACATGGAACAATGCGGTCCTTCAAACATTCGAGTTGGGGTCTCACGAACTGATCAATCTGGCTACGATATAATGTTTAAGGACGACGGGGATATGAAAGTTAAAGTTGAAAAAATTGTTGCCGGTAAGAATAGGATATTCACCTACAATTCAGGCAATGAAGCAGTGATGAATGACGCAAAAGAAAAACCAATTGAAGTGAAAACAACTCAAACGTTGCCAACTCAAGAATACAAAAACACATCGCCACTTGCGGATTCACAAAACCAAGCGAAAAAATTAATTAAAATTAATGTAAAAGTTCCCAAGAATCTAGATAAGCAAAAGAAATTTATGAAGGACACGAATGACACGAAGGATACGAAGGACAAGCCTACATTTAATGGCGAAGCGAAATCCAACTCTTTTGTACCGATCCCTATCAGAGAACCTCAAGTCTATCCTAGGTCTTCAGACGCTCACCACGAACCTCATTCTTTGCATCCTAGCTCGTTAGACGCTAGCCACGAAACTCATTTTGTGCATCCTAGCGCTCCAGCGACTCATCACGACTCTTCTTTTATCCATCCTAGCACTCCAGGCACTCACAATGATAAAGAAGATGTTGCAAATAAACGAGATAGAAAGAAGGAAACAAACAAAAGCCTTGACGAGTACGTAAAACCACGCAAAATAAGTCCCTCTTTGGTTCATGAAAGCCTTCAACCCATCTTTGAAAAGATGTACCCCAAAGATTCACATAAAGATCCCAATTATATTGCTGATGTTCAAACGGATAAATGCACCGCTGAAGGGCACAAGATAGAATGTTTGACATCAATTCCTAACTTTAAAGTAGTTTTTGAAGTTCCAGATGCACATGGGAAAAAAATTGAACCTCACACTACAAAGTCGAAAATTGCTATTTCGCAGTGCGACATCCACGTTGACGTCGGTCTCGATCGAATGGGTCCAAAATATTTAGAACAAATCAGTAATAAAGCAGGTCTTTACGATTCCATAGTATCCAACGAAAATATGATTCCTAAAGCAGATCCCCACAATGCTGCACGCAAGATGGAACATGCAGAAGATGGACGCAACAAAATACACCCAATAGTTCCCCACTATATGCAATCAATGGCTTCACTTCATTCCGTTGAATCGGGAGTAACTAATACCGATTTGTCAGACAAAAAGAACCAACACAATGAGCAGAATAAATTTAAATCAAAGCTTTACGATGCCAACAAATTGTTAGAAATTAAAGAATGTCTGTCTAAGATGAGATTAGAATTAAGAAACGAGTGTCCTTGCTTGTCAAGCCGTTATCAGGACAAAGTAGAAAACAAAGATAAAAACGCAAGAACGGATCGAGTGATTGTCATTCGCACAAAAAGAAAGGAGGGTGGTGAGGAATGCAGTGACGAGTCCGATAGCGAGGGAGAGAAGGAAAAAGAGGAAGCACTTGAAAGGTTGGCCAAAGAAATCTTGGAAGAAAAAATAAACATAGATAAAATAAAGGACATCAACAGTGGCAAAGAAAGAAACAACGAAGAAGGAGAAACTAATCATGAAAATCGGGATTCGAAAAAAGACAGTGTTCAAAAAAAAAAATACGACGCATCCGATGCAAAAGGAGAAAATAAACATAAATTAGAGAAAGAAACCAAGAAGTCTAAAAACATAAATGACGACAAAGCAAAAAGAAAATCTGGGCGGCAGACGGATGATGAATCATTAAACCACCCAGAGTTGAGTGAACATCAAATGAAAAATTCGAAAGACGAAGAAACCTATCTCGAAACTAGAGGCAGGAGGAAGAAGGGACACAGCGATGAAAAGGGGCGTTCGATATGGAACCATCCCGAGAGTAGTGTAACAGAAGAGGAGGCCTTATTGACGAAATCAATATTGAAAGGGTCTATGAGTAAGAAAGGGTCGGAGAAAAATATTTTAATGGACGATAGTCATGTTCTTTTCAAGAATGCAAGTGGGGATTTATCTGATGTTATCGAGAAACCACAAATACTTCGACATCCCACTGGTATTTTTTTTCAAGGACAGAACCTTTTGGCGGGATCGATGTTTGATGACGACCATCCTTCCTCAACGGACGAAATGACAGAGTCTAACGCGAAGGAAGCTAGAAAGGAAGGATTAGAAAAGAACTTAAAACCGTTTTCAAGTCGTGATAACGATCGAACAAATAACGAAGAATTGAGCGAGCATCTCTCAATCGCAAGTTCATTCGTTAGCCAGCAGGTGCAAAATGAAGCGATACAGAAAACCGCCTATGGGATTCACCCAAGAGAAAGCAATAGCGGTTCGGTATTGAATCATCGTCCTAATGATACCGTAACCAGACAGACGGACATAACGACAGAATCCACCAATAAACGATTTGATAAAAAGATGCCAAAGATGGAAGGCCACGTTGAATTCAATAAAGGAAATATTGAAGAATATGAATCCGAGGAGAAAATATCATTTCGGAATAGAAGGCCAACTGGGATTTATTTTCAGGGAAATAACGTTTTAAAGGCAATGAGCCGTGAACACGACACACCTTCACAATCGGACGATGTGGAATATAGCGAAAATGATACGTGCGAACTCTCCGATTCCAGTGCGAAAAATAAAAAATTCGCTAGAAATGATCAGAGTTTTAAACCAATTTCAGTTCGTGATAAAAACGACTACATTGACGACGACTCGAGTTCCTGTCCCTCAGACGGTAGTTCTGTCCAAAAGGGCGTCCAGCATGTACAAAATGAAAAGATTAACAAAAAACCATATGGGATAAGACCGAGCAAAAATACCAATAATGACAAAAGCCGTTCGGCAATGAATCATTCCAAGGATACCGTAACAGTGAAGAAGGAATTGATGACGGAAAATATAACAGGTAAGAAAGCATTGAATAAAAAAAAGCCAAATGACGATAGGCCCGTTGCAGGCGACGCCGTATACAACTCCGTCGAGCAAAAACACTCAATCCGTAATGGACAATCAATTGGTAGAAAGCACCAGGGAACTACCGCTTATGACTACTCATCTTCGCAAACAGCCGATGTGAACGAATCAACTAGAAATGACGGATTACACAAGATTGGTAAAAAGAATTATTACTTGTCAAAATTAGAAGAATCGAGTGATGGCCTCTCGGACCCAAGCACAATCGGAAAGCGCAGTCAGCCAGTACGAAATGAAGCTATTCAAAAAACATCCTACAGGTTACGTCCAATTAACAAAAACATTGAGAACAAAGGCCGTTTAACAATGAATCATCCCGACAGTACTGTAAAAGAGCATGACACTCCCATGATGAAAAATATGACAAAATCGGCAGTCGATAAGAAGGAGGCGCTGGATAAAATGAAATCGGGTGCAGGTGCAAGTAGTGGACCACCAGATGGAACTCATGAATCATCTAATCACCAAAAACAAGAAGTGGAACAAATAAATGCCCAGGGGGTGCACCGATCGTCTGATCGGTCATATAAAATCAGAAAACAAGTTCCACATGAGGAGTCTAGTCGACTGAATTCAAGAACAACAAAAACCAATTCCGATATAACAGGTACAAAAACAGCGCTTCATTCTTCCGGTATTTCAAAAAGAAATGCGGAAGCAAACGAATCAAATGGCACTCGTGCCCAAGTCAAATCTGATAACCGCGGATTTAAAAACAATTCGGAAGATCCCATTCATTCCTCTAGCAGGCCGAAGGGAAAGGCAGAGGTCATTTCGAGTGAGCATCTTGATCGGGTAAAACCTGATACGTTTAACTCATTGGATTCAAAAACAAATAGTGCCAACCTACCCACAGTCTGCCGGTTAAAACCAAATTTAAAAGAGGCATTTCTTTATGCTAGTGTGTCAGAAGGTATATTAGAATCCACGCAGGTAAAGTCCGATGCGTTGGACCCTTCGGATTCTAAAATTATTACTAAAAAACAACCCACCTCCAGCCGGTTAAAAGCAAATGCAACAGAAGTACTTCATTCGTCGGGTGTGCCAAAAGAAAAAGACGAAGCATATGAATCAACAGACAGCCTTGCTCGTGTAAAATCTGACGCGTTGAACCCTTCGGATTCCAAAATTAGTACTAAAAAACGTTCCACTGCCTGTCGGTTAAAAGCAAATGCAAAAGATGCGCTTCGTACTACGTCCAGGCCAAAGGGTAAAGAAGAATCATTAAGGAATAGTCAAAAAGAAAAGGCAGATGCGAATCTATCAAGTAGCACTCTTCATTATACAGACTCTGACGCGGTAAACCTGAATCGGTTGGAACAAATCAAAGAAGAATCTCTTCATTCTTATGGTAGGCCAAACAGAAAAGCAGATGCGAATCTATCAAGCAGCAGTCTTGATTATTCAAGCTCTGATGCCGTAAATCTGTTGAATTTAAAAACTGGAAATACAAAGGATCGCCGGCTAAAAAAAGCTCAAACAGATGAAAACAAACGAAAAGTTTTGACAACAAAGCACAGAAAAAGCAGTTCGGAAAAGTATAGTGATTCTGGGGTTCCCGTCGGAAAAGTTTGGGCCGATCATAGATTAGAAAAAACGATTCTTACTGAAAGATTAAACAATATCATAAACTCATTGTGCATTAAATGCCCCCCTCCTGGCGTCGCGGTGAGATGCTGCTGTAGCACCGCCCGCCATCCGAGGCTTATACACTGCCCGCCTCGCTTTAGAAAATCTCCAAGCCCTCGGAAATGAAATAGTCACCGGCGAACAATTTTAACACATGTGCAAATACATTTTTAGACTTTTGTATTTTATTATTTTCAATTATATATTATTATTGATTCTTAGTCTCTGAATACTATTTGGCGATTTTTTAAAATACTTTTTGGATCGTTCCTCATTTTTTGATTGAATCTTTATTTTGTGAGACTTCTTCCAAGATTCCAAGAAACAGGGTTGATTTGTTGTATATAGTTTTGCGTCCCTGTGTTGAGAGTGCATGTGTTTGTTAGCGTGAATGTGGAGTGTGAGAGGGTTGATGGAGGAATATTGAGTACCTCATGACACTCAATCAGGTTAGTTATACTATAAGTGTAAAAGGAGAGAGAGGAATGTCGAATGCTTCACAATCCTAAGTGAATCTAAAAATAGGAAAGAATGTACTTAAGCGTGAATGAGAGTTTGGATTTAGGAACTGATTGCATTCGGTGCAGAAATGACCCAGCTGTTGATAGTACCCGGAGCCCAATCTTGGTCGGACAGTCTAACCCCGGACTGCCAACACTTGGGGTGGGTGATTGTCAAGGCCTGTCGATAATTTATTGTAAATTACAAAAGCTGAAATTGCCAGTGGACTGTGAGAAGTGATGGCTCAACTCTATACACATGTACATTTTGGCATATATAAATCAGTAATCAGTCGACGCTGAAACTGATAGATTATACCAGCGAGGATCGGCAGGCCAAAATGTTCGAAAACGATTAAACAACTTTTTATTTGTCCAATGAAACAAATTTTGTTATAGCTTTTTGTCAATTCTTATTCAGCAAAACATATTTTTTTAATCGTAATCCAACTTGTATAAGATCGCAGAAGGTTCTTCGGCTTTGTCAATTTGAGATTGGACTTCTTGAGAAGTCTACTGTTTTAATCCTCAACAAGGGCAGTAGTACAACACCCTTTGGTTGTGCTTAATACGATGGCACTCTCCCATCTTCTACATTAGCATTTCCTCCGTGATGTGCAATTTACATATATTTTTTTCGATGGAAACCATTTAGGCCATTATCCAAAGTTCTTTGTGTGTTGAGAATTAACGGAGAATTCTTTAGCGTTACTAACTTACTGCAGGTAACCTGATCTAAAGCAGCTCTCTTCTCGCCCTGTTAACCTGATCATCTAACTTTTCAGTGCTTTCAGTAAGAGGAATGTTACGACTATGGTCTGTCAGACTTACTGACACTACCGTACGCCGTGTGCGGAACTTAAAAGTCAATCCGAGACTAATTTTCCATGACCAGAGTTTGGGTGATGAACTCTTTTTCTTTAGGAAAATCGCTAACACAATATCCATTTTCCGTAAACCGATATGAATAAACAAAACAATAAAACTCTCTTACAATGTTTATGTCATTTCACTGTACTAGGATCGGAGCGAATCACACACAACACGCGTCAGAGAGAGAGAGAGAGAGAGAGAGAGAGAGAGAGAGAGAGAGAGAGAGAGAGAGAGAGAGAGACATAGAGACAGAGAAAGAATGATATAGATAGACAGACAGAAAGACAGACAGATAGACAGACAGACATACAGGCACACAGACAGAAATCATCCGTATTCTATCTTGTTACAGATTTGCTGGGAAATGCGAGAAGGTTATGTGAAAGTGTTGATCAGATGGTAGGATGGACGCAAATTTGCTGAGAGTTTTCTTAACTATACGCACACACTCACGCATACACGTATGTTGCTTACATCGTCTATTCAGATAAACAAATGTAAACGTGTGTACACAGCAAAAACCCGTACACGGCCAAGGACGGCCACTCCAACGACCCGTATAATTGCAATGACGTAAGTGCGCTGCAGAAGAGGAAGTAATCACAATAAAAAAGTACGATGTAAAGGAGCAAAAGGAGGTCTCAGAGACGGCCTGCATTTGGCCCAGAATTTCAATGCCACAAAAAAAACCGTGTGGCTATAAAGTAACGTTTTATTCTTGATCCTATCTTTACCAAATCAACGGACGATCCAGTGGAAACAAGCTGAGAATAGAAAATTTGCATACATTTAGCCGCTTTGCATTAGTCCTCACTCGAGTTGCCGAATTAAGTTTTATCGTCCTTTCCATTGGCTCTGTACGAGAAGAAACTAAACAAGTACAGAAAACAAACATTAATTATTAGTTCCGATAAATCATTCCTGACCCAAAACCAATTATCAGCACACTTGTATAACGTATTTGCGAGCAAATATTCTTTTTATCGAGTGAACCAGATGCCCTTGCTTAACAGCCTCCTCTATAGGAAATTTACCATCTCGCGAGAATAAGGAAAAAACTCATCGATGAATGGGGCGACTGAAGATTATCATTATTACATTACCAGTAAATAAATAAGTAATTAAATCGCGTTGTTATCTCACTGTTGTTTAGTTTAATCTAAATCCAATTAAAAATGCGATTTATTTATTATTTATATTACAATTTGATTTTTGATAAGGTTTTGGATGTTGATAAAGAGGATTATGATTTAGTTTATAATTAAACAAACTTGACCGAAAAAACAATAGCTAACCGTTGGAAACTGTTGGTCTCCCAATTGATCTGACTTTATTTGTCTGTTAGACGAGTTTTGGCTTTTCACAATCTGCAGTAAAGTAATATTTTGTTTATCCTGGTAACTTTTAAAGTTAATTAAGGGTGAAACACGTTATATTGGTTTGTCGTCTGTGGGAGGTGTGGATTTGTGCTGATTGTAAATTATTAAGTTATATTTTTGTTTGTTCCAGTCGGTTCTTGAGATGTTACATCTTTTCCATTTTAATTTGTTTAATGTTTTGAATGGAGTAAATCATGTTCGCTGTTGATCTGTGCTTTTTTGCCTTTCCTGTGGACTGTTTTGTGTAAATGAGATGCTAAATTAACAATGATGTCCATATTTCGTTCTTTCTGCACTCCATGCAGAGATTTCAGTCCTATCACTCCCCTAGTACTTTTACCATGTCACTGTTGCAATGTGGTTGCCAATTTTGGTGAGGATTTTTTAATCATGAGTTAGCCAGATATAGTGCACCTCTGGAGACCGTTCATTTCTCTTTTTGCTTTGTGTGCATTTATTCTTGAATTGAGGAATCTGTTTGATCTTATTTTCCACATAATAGCCAGTGAGATTTTAAATTATAGTTTACATGCCGTTTATGCCTGGTGGGTTATTTTTGTCGATATTTCGTTTCAGGAATTTTAAAATTATTAAATTCACTAATTTCGTTGACCGCTTGACCAATTAATATATTGCAATTAATTAAGGTTTTTTAGTTGAGATAAAAAAGTCAATGGCACGAGCGGGATTCGAACCCACGACCTTCGGCTAGTTACGCCGCTGCTCTACCACTTGAGCTATCGTGACCTCGATCCACTCGGACCAACTTCCCATCTCAACCCCACCTTTTGAATTTTCCCTCCTTTTTGCCATTTTTCAAATGTCGTGTAATCGGATTGGATTCTCGACGACAAATGAAATGGCCACGGAGAGCTTTAGTGAAGTATACTTCATTTTAAATCATTAAATTCACTAATTTCGTGGTCCGCTTGACCAATTAATATATTACAATTAATTAAGGTTTTTTAGCTGAGATAAACTCATGAACAATTATATATATAAATATATTATATATATAAATGCCACCCCATGAGAATTGCCCCTTGTTCTTGGTAGAAACAGGGTTGTTTTATTGTATAGTAGCACTAATAATTTTGTGCACCTATCGTGTGTTGAGAGTGAATGTATTTATTGGCGTGAATGTGTAGTGATGACAGAATACTAAATACCTCATCGACGCTCAATTACGTTAGTTGTAAAGGGTGATGGAGGAATGTCGTGTAACTGTGTACTTTGTAAATGATTTGTAAAAAGGAAAGAATGCATTTAAGAATGAGTGAGAGTATGAGCCTAACTTCAGCAGCTGGGCGGGTAAAACTATCGAAACTGTTATTATGGAGAATCTAAATCAAAAGCAGTTTTGGATCTGGGATGAATTTATGAAAATTGAAACTGACATTGAACACAAACCACTGGCCGTTTTTTCCTGTTGAGCTGATTTAAATGACAAGTAATGTCCATTTAACTTGTTTTTAAACTTTTTTTTTTAAATAAATACTATAAATTGTATTTTATTTCAATCCGGTATTTTGTTATATTGACGTACGAGTTATGAACTCAACTAATGTTGCAAACAGTGGTTTGACAATATTCTCTGTACTGATCGCACTTGTGCTTTAAAATAAAATAAAATAAAAAATATTATTTAAAGAATTATTTTTTGTAAACAAAGTACGGTCCTAGGGAAAACTGTGCAATAATGGCATTCCATAGTGTACATATGCTCCTAAAATTAAATAAAATCCACTAAAAAATTTGATCGACTGTATCAAATATTTATTGTTTGGAACAAAAGCAGCAAGAATTTGCTTTAAATAATTGATTTTTACCTGTGCTAGTTTAAATATTCGTCCAGACATTTATCACATTATGTAGTACCACCCGGCTTGGAATTTCTACCTGGTTAAATCCGTTATCTATTCCACTTCGTTCTTGGCTTTATTTTATTTTTTTAACCTCTGCTTTTATATTTCTTATAAAAGTTTAGTTAAAATAAAATTGAAATATTTGATTTGAAACACGAAATGTAATTTAAGGGTGGGGCTTCAAGCAACAAAAAACTGCAGATTAGATATGGTCAAATATGTTATTTGGTGTCCTCGGGTAGTTGACCCTGTTGTCTAGAATCTAGAGATTACGGATTAATTCTAAACAAAACCCTAATTATGATTCTTTTCCTTTATTTTTAATTAATGTACTTAATATATTTTTACATTTTATATTATAATGTATTTTATCAACACAATTAAATAAGTAATAAGACAGCTATAAAAACGGATTCTATAACACTTAAAAAAAAGGAATGATAATTTAAAAGCGGAAAAATAAATAATAAATTTATATTTTATACATTTTATGAATATTTATATATTTTATATTACAATTATATATATATTATAATGTGTATTTTATCAACACAATTAAATAAGTAATAAGACTGCTATAAAAACGGATTCTATAGCACTTTAAAAAAAGTAATAATAATTTAAGCAATTTATGAATATATTCTTATAATTACGAAATGAAAGGCTGATTTGTTGAATCTTAACAAACCATATATTAAAGAAATTGTTCCCTCCAATCTGCGTGTTTAGAGAATTTAGAGAAATTTACTTAGGAAAAAAGAATTGTGAGAGTCAGAACTCATATCCTTTTTAATGGAAATTATTGAGAATTTGTGTAAATGTATAAAAATAGCAACAAATTACAGGCAATTTTTAATATCCAAGTTCAATTATTAAATACATTTAATGTCGAATACATATGTGTATTATTAATTTTTTATTTTTTTCTTTGTAGTTTGTATATTTTATAATATATAATTTGTAAATTTTATATCTACCTTATACGTATATTTGTCTTTTTTTAGCATAATTTTTTATTCTTTTACTTTTTTACTTTCTGTGTTTATTAAATATGTAACAAAGCAAAAAAATGTTTTAGTTTTGGATGGACGGAAAGTATTGAGAATTTGTGTAAATGTATAAAAATAGCAACAAATTACAGTCAATTTTTAATATCTAAGTTCAATTATTAAATTCATTTAATGTCGAATACATATGTGTATTATTAATTTTTAATTTTTTTTCTTTGTAGTTTGTATATTTTATAATATATAATTTGTAAATTTTATATCTACCTTATGCGTATATTTGTCTCTTTTTAGCATAATTTTTGATTCTTTTACTTTTTCTACTTTCTGTGTTTATTAAATATGTAACAAAGCAAAAAAATGTTTTAGTTTTGGATGGACGGAAAGTATTGAGAATTTGTGTAAATGTATAAAAATAGCAACAAATTTTAAGTAATTTTTAATCTCAAAGTTCAATTATTAAATACATTTAATGTCGAATACATATATGTATATTATTAATTTTTTTCTTTGTAGCTTTTGTATTTTATAATATATACATTTTATATCTAGCTTATACGTACATTTGTCTTTTTTTAGTATAATTTTTTATTCTTTTATTTTTTCTATTTTCAGTGTTTATTTAATATATAACAAAGCAAAAAAAAAGTTTTAGTTTTAAGATAGTAACTATTAGCGATCACTTTTTTTGTGTTCTTGGAATTTATGAAAGCAAATGTTTCTATAACTATTTTAATTTTAATTTACTGTATTGATTACTTTAAAAAATTAGCTCAACTCAGAGGGGGAAAACCACATCAAATGAGCTTTGTATTGTTTAATTTTAAAATTATTTATGGAGTAATATTTATTTATAAATAAAGTTCGTTATCGATCTATCTAAATTAAATATTTTATTGTCATTACGTTTTGTCCGCGAGCAAGCGATGGAGCTACTTATCAATATGCAATACATAATTTATGACCCACAGGAAGGGTAAAATATTATTATTTTATTTTAGCAAGAAAAAATAAATAGTTATTCGTTTTTTGCCCCCAAAAATCATGGAATAAAAAATTTGGGTAATTCAACAATTAATATTTTTCTGGAAATCTTCCAAATGATTGGCCCAATCCACAAGGAACTAAAATGGTTTAAAAGAGTATAAATCACATGCACGTAGTTTAATGGCACAATTTCGTGCATTTTAGAATCGGCGATTAAAAAATAATATTTAATAATTTATATTTTATATATCTAATGTCATTTAATGTGACTTATTACTTTCTTATCCTACAAAAAATTGACTAATGTATTATTATTATGATCTAAAAACATACTCATAACAAAAGAAAACCATATTTTAAAAAAATTGTAAATAATAATTATTCTTTTTAACTAAGGTTTGTGGTTTAGTTGAAAAATTAGTGCTGAAAATATGGCAAAAAGAAGGAAAATTCGAACGGTTGTAGGTTGAGATGGGGAGTTGTTGCCTGAGTGGATCGAAGTCACGAATGCACAAGTGGTATTGAACCGAAGGTCGTGGGTTCGAATCCCGTTCGTCACACTAATTTTTCATCTCAACCAAAAACTCAGATAAAAAGAATAATTAATTTGTCCTAATGTAAATTTGATTATATCAATTTTTTAACGTTAAACAAGCAAAATACAAAATCAGTTAAAAGATAAACTTCAGAGTTCTTTTATAAAGTTCGAGTAAAATTTTCTTGGTTCTGTAAATACTGACAGATATAGTGCATATAGAAAAGCTGCCCCTATTAATGAGAATTAAATACTTGTACTTAATTTCTCAAAGGTCAGTTATCATCAGTGTAAAATTAACGATTAATTTCAAAAAATTTGATTTTTAGGTTACAAACGATTTAAATATATTATTCATTATGATTTTGAAACTTTCATTTAAAAAAAATAATGAAAGTAATACGAAGTAAACAAAAAAAAGACTGGTTCAAAATTGAACATGAGCAAAAACGACAACCTTCTAAAAATTAAATTTTAAAAATGTCCAGCTTATTGAAGAATCCAAGCCTGGGATTCGCTTAATTTTTAGAAGCTTGTTGTTTTGCCTTGCTGTTGTCTAACTACCTGTTTATCATATATATCTGGATCTATTTTCTATATAAGTATCTGTACATATGTACATGTACATATAATCTTTTCAGATATAAATATACTAATATATTTTTCCGTACATACGTACTTGATAACAATTCTCCACAAATCAGTTTTTAAACATAGGCTATTGTTTTTAGGTATGCACTTTAAATTATGTCGGAATCGAAAGATATTTGAATTTTTTTTATCCACTGTTTTAATAGCAATTACACATACACGACCCTTAACCTTGTAATCGGAACTCTAGGCAGAAAAAAACCAGTCCTGATAAAACAAACAAGACTAAAAAGAAATTAACCAGGAATTCTTCTTCGAGGATAAAAAAAACAAAAACGACCTCCCACCCTTCAGTATTTCTTTTTTCCCACAGTTCTATTATTCTAAATCTCTTCATCTTAAACGAGGAGGGGTAGGGGTAGCTATTTGACTAAATGTATATAAACCCACTTAGCAAGGCGCTTACAAGAAGAGGTGCAAAACGTCCGTTAAAATGAAAGCATTCTTTTCTCTCGTAATCCTCGGAGTTGCCATCGCCCTTGTTAACTCCAAGGTACCTCATCCGTGAACAATGTAGTGATCAGCATTTTTCGAGAGTTTATTTAAATGTTATTCCTCTTTTAACAGGCCACAAAAGAGGTTTCGGAAAAACTCAGGGCTGCAGTAGCCAAATGCACGAAAGAACACCACCTGGACTTAAGTAATTTTTGATATATTTTTCCATTTTAATATATATTATACAGAATATTAATTGTTTAAATTTTCTTATAGCTACAGTCGAGGAATATGTCAAATTTCATAAACTCCCAGAAACCGAACATGGAAAAGTAATGATTTGCATTATATATAAACTAACTATTAATTAATATGGTTTATTTTTGTTCTCAGTGCGCTGTCTTCTGCTATTTCAAAGAAATGGGATATGTAAGTAACTTTTCTTATTATTTCGCTGTAGAAGTTGAACCGTGATCAAATCTAAATACAAGTCTGAAGTACCTTTTAAATTTAACCAAACAATACATTCTTAAATAGATTAATTACAGTACCTAATCTATCAAGGATCTTGTAGCAAGATTTTTATGAATTTAATAAAGTCTATCGCTCAAAATCTAATTGTTCATTTAAATTACTCTTGCTACTCTATAATAATCGTTTCCTAATATTCACCATTAATGCACTCATTTTTAAAACAGGTGACTGATGGAAAATTCAACGATGCAAACGTAGAAAGTACAAACAAATTAAAATGGGATAACGAAACAGAAGCTGCGAAGGCAACTGAAGTTTACCATACCTGCCTTAAAGAAAGCAAGTTTTAAAACTCCATACACATATTTTAATAATTAATTATAGAAGTTATTTACGTTGTAAACTTTTCTTTTCAGCCAGCCTCACTGACGTCACATTGGACTGCGAAGCCGCCGTGAAAATGCTCAGTTGCCTCAAAACCCATAGTGAAAAGGTGAGATTGTTTGTGGTTTATGTTTGATTTATCGATTAAAATTCTCATTTTTCACATATTTATTTTATTCTGACAATAATTTATTTCCTTGCAGCATTCGCTCCCACTTCCGGAACTTCACAAAGATGAATAAATTTTGTAATGTGAAACGGCTCTTACAAAAATTTTCAACAAATCAAACATTGACCCTGACCGATCTTCAAGACATCGTAAAGTAATAATGAATATTTTGATAAAAATTCAAAACTAATAAACATTTTCAATTCTGTTTTCTTTTTACTACTAATACCTTATTCAGCTACTTCAAATTTGGACACAAGCAAATTCTGATTTATTAACATTGTCAGCAAAAGTATACGTTCCTTCAAATGGTCTGTTTGACGTTAAAAAAATTTTAAGCAGTTTTTGAATTATTGCCGTTTCAATCAGATATTCCAATAACGATTTCTCAAAAATCGGAAATTTTTCTAAAACGAGGATAAATTAAAAGTATTTGCCAGCACTGCACCTGCTTTGAAGAGCCAACCATTGCTCAACATGACTCAAGGAGGTCGCGAGACCGTAGGTTGAGGCGACGTGACGGGTTGTCATGAGAGAATGAGTGAGAAAGCTCGAGCAGTATGGTTAGGTTGGTTCGATAGGATGGTGAGGACGGTTTGGAATCTGGACCGGAACTGTTCGTTGACAAAAAGAATGCTGAGGTCTTTGTGAATAGTGAGGTTAGTGACATAACAAGGTGCTTTGACAACAAGGACTTTCGATTGGAAGGACTGGATGCGCTGGATATTGGATGGTTTGGCAGTACCCAACATTCCACTCCGTATGTCCAAAGTGGTCGCATTGAAGTCTTGTATAAGGTGAGTTTAGTTTTGACAGTCAAGGCAGATTGAATGATATAGTTGGTGCGGAGTTCAATCCTTTTTAAAAAGGTGGATTCCTACTCACAGTAAGTTGTTTCCGAAGTACTAAAGGGTTCGAAATCCGGATTGTTGCGAAACAACTTACTGTGAGTAGGAACCATCTTTTTAAAAAGGATTGAACTCCATCCCACTCCATCATTCATAATTTCTATCACAGAACGTTGTTGCTCGCTCAAAAACACTTTTCTATCCTACTTAAATAATCTTCGATGGGATGGATGTAGAAAAGTTTGATGAATACGGATCTTCACAAGAAACGTTCTTGTGCCTAAGCCTTATCAATCAATTATTGTAATATTAACATTCAACCATCATAAAAATTATTGTTAGTACTATAATGTCATTTATTTATTCCTCTGCATAATTATTATCATTAGGTTTTAGGTTTCATTTGCTTGAAAAATGGTTTCATTTGATTGAAAAAAAGGTTTCATTTGATTGAAAAAAGTTTCATTTGATTGAAAAAGGTTTCATTTGATTGAAAAAAGGTTTCATTTGCTTGAAAAATGGTTTCATTTGATTGAAAAAAAGGTTTCATTTGATTGAAAAAGTTTCATTTGATTGAAAAAGGTTTCATTAGATTGAAAAAAGGTTTCATTTGCTTGAAAATTGGTTTCATTTCATTGAAAAAAAGTTTCATTTGGTTGAAAAAAAGTTTCATTTGGTTGAAAAAAAGTTTCAATTGACTGAGAAATGCTATACGTCCGACGATATTTTGTAGTAAAGAATCACCAAAAAACGTTTGAACCAAATCCGTGACCCACCAACTGGGGCGGACCGACCACCCGTGGATCCAATGTATGCGAATGTATTCGGAGGGATTAACATGATATACAACTGGGCATCAGCCGATAAGTAGAACTTTGGTTTCAGCCTTTTATCGAAAAATGTTCTTTTAATACGAAATTTTCGACATCACTATCTTTTTGGAATAATTTTATCACTAATTTAATATTTAAGAGTTTAGTTCTTATTAAATAAAATACTATTTTCGTTTTCTCATCCACTCGTGTGTGTTTTTGTTTTTTTAATTCATCCTTGGGTGAGGTCAGCGGAGGTGAGACTCCCTAAAAACTGAATTCTCTGAGATATGTGATAATGTAGGAATCAAATTTTATAAAAAAAACAGCGATAAAAATAAAGGCATAAGATTACCCGAAATAAAAATCTTACTCCAAAATGACAAGGCCAAAAAACATCTAATAATTTTTGATAAAAATAAGTTTACTGTATTTCTTTACTGTTATAATACAAGAATGTATTAATTTTTTTATTGCTACTGCTAATTATGGGTGCCATAACGCGAGAAATAAGTAGCCGAAAGCCCCCCCAGGCCCGACCAGGCTGAACGAAGACTACTTTGAAGATTCGCCACATTGCTGTTGAGATACTGATCGAGGAAGATTAAATCAGTATGGACTGATGTCTTTTTGCCCCTTAAGAGGACCGGTATTGACCAGTAACAATTGACATTTTTTTAAAACATTTTTATACAAATACTCAATTTTAAACGTTAAGAAACGTAAACATTGATTAATATATAAAAATATTTACGAATCAAGTTATATTGCAAGTGATGGAATTTTTTGACTGTCAGTGTGTATTAGTACTTATGAACGCAGCATAATCTTGGGTAAGTATAAGCCTGGAAATCAAGTAGCTAAACTTGTTTTTTTCTTCTTGATTTTTGTTGTTAATTCTATTTTTGTGGCATATCAATTTTTTATTGGCCATGATATGGCCTTGTAATCGACATTCTGCAATAATATTTTCTTTGTTTGTAGGTAGAACACGCGTTTAAAATGATTTTTTTCTTGATAAGTTTTTATAAGGCAAGGCCAATTACTCCTTTATTATCGTTAATAAAGTATATGATTTCCATTGACTTGACTAACTTTAACATCCCAATTTTGGTTCATTTGAAAATTTTTATCTTAAAACTGCGTTACACATTTATACAGTATATTATAATTTATAACTTGTAAAGAGGTGTTGAAATTTTTAGAAAGACTTGTGAAAAAAAGGTTAATTCCTTTCCGATTTCAAGCCATTTGCATATTTGAAGAAGACTGCTGAGCTGTCCAATTTTATAGTAACATTTGACGAATAATATCAATAAAATTAGAATAATTATAATCCTCTAATCGTAACCGTACGTAAAACCAATAAAAAACTTAGTCCGATAATAAAATGAAGATAAAGCAAAAATTAGCAATTGAATTTGTAGAGGGGCGTGCGTTTTCTATATAAACTGCATTTGCAATAAAATATTGTAAGAAAAATGAAGACTTTCTTCTGCTTCGTATTCTTCTTGGTTTCTGTCACCTTTGTTAACACCAGGGTACAACTGCTCTATATACAAAGGTAAAGTTGAAAATTTCGTATGAATACTATTATTACACTTTTTACAGCCATCGAAAGAGTATACGAATAAATTCAAGGCCGCAGTGCAAAAATGCTCCCAACAATTCAACCTGACTCTAGGTAACTTTTTGTTGGTTAAAAATAATATGTCCTATTAACGTCTAGCCGAATGTATATTAATTTTTTAATTACAGCAGACGTGGAAGGATATGCAAAGTATCGTAAGCTCTCAGAAACTAAAAATGGAAAGGTAAATAATTTTATTGTTTAAGTATTTGCTATAAATTCTTTCAAAATTTAATAATTAATTTTTTAATACAAATTAATATTTTTACTTATGTTCACTTCAGTGTGCTGTCCTCTGTGTTTTCAAAGAAATGGAATATGTGAGTAGATTTTATTGTTTCTGTTTCCTCTATTAATTACTTCGACTTTAATGTTTCAACGGTTAATTTCATAGTACAAAGCCATATTCAAATATTTGATATGACCAGCTTATTTTTATTAAGGCTTTAGATGTTTTTGTCTCTTAGAAAGACTTTAAATTTGACTTATTATTTAGTCCTGCCAATAAAATTGATATAAGCTTTCGATATTATAATTTTATATTCATCAAGACTTAGTGATGTCAAGGATGAAAATATTAAAAATTTGAATTTACAGATGCTGAATGAATTTACAAAAACTCGTTTGACGTTTAATAACGTTTAATAGAAGAATACGGAAATTATTTTAGACAAAAACAATACTGTCTGCAGGATGAACTTACTAATTCCTAATTTTTCGAAAGGTACAAATGTAAATGTACAAGCACAGTTCTGGCTGTAATGTTTACGTCTAGTTGTTAAGCTTTTGCTGGACCGAAAATAATTGACCTAATTTAAGATTATTATATCATACAAAATTTAGCATTTATACCTATAATTAAAATAGAAAAGCGTGTAAAATTAATATAAAATCATATTCATGTAAAAAAATAACATGCATCTTGCTGTTTAAGGTGACAGATGGGAAATTGAACTTTGAGCACGTTGTCAGCTCTTCCAAACATAAATGGGAAGGCAGTGCAGTCATTGAGAAGGCAAAAAATGTTTACTCGACTTGTTATAAAGAACGTGAGTTAAAAATGGTATGTTTATTTACTTATATTAACTAATAAAAATTTATTACAGTAAATTTAGAAAACGACACGTTTGACTGCGACAAGGCAGTAGAAATGCTAGGTTGTCTCATGAAAGGAAGCAAGGAGGTGAGACATGATAATTTTATTTGTATTTTTTATTTTATTATATGTTTTCCATTGCAGCATTCCATCCCTGCTCCATATTTGTCATAATTAAAACAACGAGTTTCGGCCAAACCGAGAGATAACTACTTTCACGGCTTACCTGAACCATAACCAACAAACCATCACAGTTACTTTATTTAAGGAAAATAAATATAATCTTTTTTTTAAATTATGTTGTGTTTTACTATACCACCAATTTTAGCTTTTTAACTTAAAAAATGAAATTTGAAGAATGAGGTTATTTATCCGAGAATGACAAAAGATGAACCTCGATTGACGTATTGACTTTAACAAAACTCAGCATCCATTGAAATATATATAATAATAATAATAATAATAAATATATATTTATACAACAAAGTCTGACCTCTGTCCAGATTTTCGTCGAGTAGCGTCAATTAAGTAGAAGACTAACTCATATTTTGATTTCAAAATGTATGTAATTTTGTCGTTATATTAATTACAACATGCTTATGCACGTCAATCAAATTAAACGAGATCAAAAATTTATGAGTTTTTATAAAAATTATTTAATTATAATGGTTTGGCAGAAAATTTATCAAAACGCCTGAATTTATAGATACATAGCATGAATTTAACTAGCAACAAGCAATGGCTTTGCTCATAAAATTTAACGACAATTTATTACACAGTTTTGCTAATAAAATTTAACTAACAATTTATAACATGGTTTTGTTAATAAAATTTAGCTAACAATTTATAATATGGTTTTGCTACTAATATGCATAGTTCATAACGCCAAAAAAAAAAAAAAAAAAAAAATGGTTTTGCTCTCATAAAATTTAACGAAAATATATTACAATTTTTCTAATAATAATGCATTAAGAGAAAAGAGGTGTTGCACTGTGTGACTGTCCGTGGCGTGCGCTTGACGTCGAACGTTGCGTTGCATCGGGTTAATGTGTTCCCTTCTAGGGGGTTGACACGGCGCTCATCACTGAGGTAAAGGTCCCGGGTTCGAATCCAGCCGCCTTGCATTCAAAACCGAAATACTTCCAAATGGGCTTTTTTCAAAAACACCGTCATCCCGAGGGTTGATATGACCTCTGCCGTTGCGAACCCTCGTTTAAAAACAAAAGTAAAAAATTAAGAATTAAAAAAATTAACAATTTGTGAGTTACGTCAACCAAATATGGTAAAGATCTCTTTAAAAATCCCAGCGGGCAAATTTCAGCCCAATTGCAACAGTATGATAAAATAATACATGGAGATGGAATCAGTTCCATGATATGCCGATAAAATCCATTGTTTCAGGTTTTTATTTTGACCCGATAGGGTTGAATTTTCCATGCATAATGGGTCTTAAAAAGCTCTCGCTGTCCATTGGATTGCACCGCTTGTAAGCAGGCATCCTGGTGAAAATGGGCTTTGCAATGAAACTTTTCAAGGAATTATCTTGATGTAAATGATGTCAGCCTTAATATTATCATTGTGTATAAAATTATAGAAAGTTGTAATGTAGAATGGGCAGGGTAGACTCGTTCACTCTACTATAATATGATAAACTCAAAAATTCATTATTACTGAAGCCAAACAATAAACATATATTTTATTTACCGTATATATTCTCGTTATCCGCATTTTCAATCATCCGCGCCTCCCTAGTTGAGTCCGGAGAAAAATTGGTATGAGTGAATCAAATTGACCACATAATAGGATGAAAGAATAGCAGAAAATAGAAGAAAAACATCAGTGGAGAAATCTTTCGATTAGCTCAAAAGTTGAAAGACAAAATCATAGAATATGACCCAATAGTGGCCGAAACATCAACGTAACAAGACTGCTAGCTAGCTCAAACAATCCACCCACTCAAATTAAATTTCCACCAGTTGACCAATCAACAAATCAGACAAAGCGGCCTCTTATTACAATGTTGTTTAAGACAGCTAAAAGCGCGTACTTCGCTAATTCATCTCCATCTACTTTTAGCTGAGGAGTTAAATTTAAATTAAGGATTTTTTCTCATGCGTTTCGATGTCGTGCATACTTGTTGGTGTATGTATATTCGAAGTGATTATTCGGAGATCGTGAGTTGCGGTCTGGTGTGACGTAGGTTTTAGAAAAATCGTGCCAACGTTTCGATCTTTATTGAGATCATCTTCAGGGCCTGGGATTTACAAACATTGTTTAAATTTAACAAATACATGTAGGATGTGGATAAAGTGAATTTATACAGTGCAAAAAAATATTTTTTATAGTATTCCTACTCACTCAAAGTGTTTGTTTTCTGGGTAGATTTGTCATTCTTGTGTCGTGTTGAGAGTGCCAGTGATATATTGCTGTTTTATGTTTATAAACATTGGATTTTGAAGGGGTGGGGAAGGAAGTCGGGGTAGAAACACGTTTTTCTATAAGGAGTCGGAGGAGGCGAAAGGAGCCGACGATGGGAAAAACGTGGGTAATGGTTCAGGCCGAACCACTATGTGAGTACAGATACTTTGATTGAGTCGAAAATTTCCAGCATAGTATAAATTCATGTTTTTTGTTTAATTTAAACAATGTTTGTAAATCCCAGGCCCTGAAGATGATCTCAATAAAAATAGAAACGTCGGCACGATAAAGAAAATTTTGTTCTAAAACCTACGTCACACCAGACCGCATCTCACGATCTCCGAATAATCATTGATTAACGGTCACTAATCACCACACACATATTCGTATTGCTTTTCTGAATGGAATAAACTTTAAGTACGTTATCGTTTATATTTTTCTTATTGGAAAACAAACCTTAAACATGTATACATAAGTTCATACATAACATTGACGATAGGCACACCTAATACACAAAGTGCCTGATTTTAATGGCATACTTACTTTTTTTCAACCATTTTGCGAGTGTTAACACTAAAAGTCCAGTTTATTATCGAAGTGTAAACCAATGTATGGAACATTATTTTTCTAGGTTGCATTATGTAACCAGCTAATATAAAGTTTAATAAGAAAGTTTTAACAAATAGATCATTGATATCAAAATATCAAGATTATAAGAGAAATAAGTACTTGTGCAAGTGAGAAACCCTAAATTTAATAAGTCTTGTTATTATATTTAGTAGTCTTGGATGGATCTTATAAAGTGACACAAACAATAAGATGACTTTGAATACATTGTTTAACATTTTAACTGAAATTTCAAAAATCATACAACTTACAATTTACGGTATATTATCTCAATCTACTTATCCAATAAATAAAATAATATCCGGCCAAGCATTTCAAGGTGCGTGTGTCCTTTGGAAATTTCTCAGAGCATTAAACAAATGTTACAAAACACCAACACTACAAATTGTACTCACAGGCTAAAATTGCAGTGCAATAATCATCAGGCGTTGAGTATGGAGAGATCATTTGCGCTGACGAACACGGGTAATTAGTTCCTAATTCTTGGACATTTGCCTTAAATAAATAGTGGGGACGAACTATATAAAGCTCGAAATCTGCAGAGCATAGGTGTACTTTGTTGCGAAACAATTTCCAATCGTCAGACATGAAGTTTCTCTTCGCATTGGTCATTGTCGTTTCGGCGATCAGCATTGGCTCCTCTGCAGTAAGTATCAGTCAACATAAAACATTATTAACACTGTGGTCTTATGATAGATACCTGAACGAAGAAATTCAAAAGATTCAGGTTATTGCTTCATTATTAGAAAGTATAAAGTGTATTGCCTGGGTGCAGTACTAATGTAGCACAGGCTTTCGGTAGTGTCCGGCACCCGGACATGCTTTATAACCTTAAATGCTTCCTACCCACTTCAAAGTGAGGTGCAGCAACGAGTTCTCGGAATTCAGATACATACAATCCGGCGTCCCACAATGGTGTATTCTTTGTACAATTCTTTACAACATTTATGCTGCTAACCTACCTAATACCATCCTTACCAACTATGGGACGGTACCGCAATTTTGTCCTCTAACTCTAATCCTTTTCAAGCTACCTCCAACGACCAAGAACCCCTTAAGCTTATCGAAGGCTGGTGCAAAAAGTAAAGGACAAGACGAAAAAAAAATGTATGCAATGTAATTTTACATTGAATAAACAGTTTTGTGCTCCACTGTACACCAGCAAGTCAAACACTTAGGACTATACCTAGACAGCAGACTGACGAGGAATCCCCACACAAGACTTAACTTAACAGAAAATTAAGACGACTCGAAGAACTCTAGGACCGAAATCCGTCTTGGCCGTCAACACTAAACTACCCTTGTACAAGACATTACTTTGACCACTTTGGACATACAGAGTGGAACTGTGGGGATCTGCCAAGCCATCCAACCTCCAGCGCATTTTGCGACAAAAGGCCTCAGACAAATCGTCGAAGCTTATTACTACATCACTAACCTCACTGTCCACCACGATCTCAACGTTCCTTTTGCCAACAAACTGATCCGTTCCCGATCCCAAAAGTTTTACACCGACCTTTCGGTCCGTCCTAGTCCTACCGCTCGATCCCTTTCTACACATTCTCATCCCGAGAACCCGCCGCGTCGCCTTAATCGACGATACCCTCGAGACCTCCTAACCCTTTAATCCCTCACACTGTGTGCCAGCATTGGCTGGCTTCTCGTGGCATGTGCTCTCCGCTAACATTAGAGTTAATACTGTCACTGCGTGAAAAAAAGTACTATAAAAACATTTGTAATATGTACAAAATGTATAGGCTACAAATAAATTAAATTTTCAAAAATTATTTTCAAGCATCATTCTTCATAACATCATTTCTATAATTATCGCTTTATTAAATACCAGTAATAAAATTAATTTAAACGGAAAACTACATGTCAAATGCCTTGAGTTTTGTTTTATTCTTAGTGATTTGACATTGTCTGTCTGAATTCCTTTGTATATTAACATAACGGGTGGTTCGTTATGAAATTTAAAAAAAACTTTTGTGTAACTAGATTGTAAATGGAGTACAACGCCGCAAAATAGGTTTTCTAACTCACTCCGTTGATAGACAGATAGTTAAATGTCTTGATTATTTACTTTTTGTTTACATAATACTGTTGTATAAAAATATTTACAAAAGTAAAGATATGCATTACCGCTGGTCGTGCATACTGTTGTGAGTTGACCTAGTGTCCTTAACAGAAAATAAGTGCGACTTAATACAGATTTTTATATATTTATTTATTATTATTTTTTAATGAATTAATTGTTTTGAACTTAATAATAATAACTATTTGATTATTGATTATTTGGGTATTTTTCATTTTTTTAATACATTTTGCTATACTATGTAATAACTAATAAATAACTTAATTACCATCTGGCACTTAGATCGTATATTTAATTCCAATTGATGTTAAAATTATTTTTTATTAAATCCGTTAGGTTTCGCGGCCTGATTGACCAAATAAATTCTTTACAATTAATTAATCTTTAAGTAACGTATTGGTTGAGATAAAAAAGTCCGAGTGGATCGAAGTCACGGTAACTCAAGTGGTAGAGCAGCGGCGTATTTAGCGAAAGGTCGTGGGTTCGAATCCCGGTCGTGACACTGACCTTTTATCTCGACCAATACTTTACTTAAAGATTAATTAATTGAAAAGAATTTATTTGGTCAATGGGACCACGAATCCTAATGGATTTAATAAGCAAAATGAAGTATACTTCACTAACGCTCTCCGTGGCCATTTCATTTGTCGCCGAGAATCAAATAGATTACACGACATTTGGAAAATGGCAAAAAGGAGGGAAAATTCAAAAGGTGGGGTTGAGATAGGAAGTTGGTGTCCGAGTGGATCGATGTCGATAGCTCAAGCAGCGGCGTATTTAGCGTAAGGTCGTTGGTTCGAATCCCGCTCGTGCTACTGACATTTTTATTTCAACCAATACCTTATTTTTTATTATTACAGAAAAACCGAATACCTACTAAAGATTAAAATTAAAATAAAGACGTTTTGATAAACAAAATAAAAAGTGTACATTATAGCTTTCGAAGTCTATTCCATTAATCATCAGTCCTCTCACATTGCATAGCACATTTACACATCTCTTTCATTGTCATAACGAATGTTAGCATTCCTTGACGATTTTGGTTGAAATCACATTAAACGTTATATATTTTTGTAGTAGGACTGATAGTATAAAAATCAACTTTTTTGTAAAGAATCAACAATCTGACATCTTCCACACCCTTGAGCTGTTTTGATTCGTTCAAGTCAATTTTTATTTTCAATTTAATCGTTGTATCCAGTTTTTAATGAAAGAAAACAATTCTACCACCGATACGATTTAAGTCTTCCCCTTCTTTTAAAATCTTGATTTTCCCAGGATACAGTTTTTACTATCACCCCATCTTTTTAGCATCTAATAGCCAACCACTCTGTATACTGAAACCTGTCATTTTTCGGATAGATTTATTCCCTCAGTTGTACACTTTTTTCTGAACTCTCTATCTCACAAGCATGTATAATTGTTTAATGTATTCGATTGTAAACAGTTTTTGATTTTTCGGTTCGAAAATTAAAATCTTCTATTTGTCCTCGAAAACTGACTGAACTTTTGTTGAACTAAATTAATAATGTTGTACCTATAACTCTAAGGGTTTGTAGGGTTTCTTCTGTAATATGTTTTTTATTCATTATCTCTTTCAGATAAATAAAGATCTTGCGGCTAAAATCATGGCAGTGAGCCAGCAGTGCAAAGAAGAATACAAAGTTGACGATGGTAATAAAAACAGACAAGATTTAAATATCTTTTGATTTTATATGGATAAAAAAATAACTAAAAATGTATTTACAACCTTGTAATCACAATTTGATTTTGCATCACATCTTTCTACTCTCTTAAGTTAATAGCAAAATGGAGATACCTTGAATCGAAGGGATTTTACAGCAAATATCAGGCGGGATTCCGTAGGGATCGCTGTGCGGTGGATCATGCATGTCTGCTCAAAGGAGCTGTTCAGGACACCTTTTTGAAGAGAGAACAAGCTCTGGCTGTATCTTTGACCTTGAGAAGTCATATGACACCCTGAATATCTTGATACCGTGGAAATGCCAGGAAATCGGTCTCTCAAGATAAAATATCGCTATTTATTCCCAGTTTTTCGAAAACAGGAGATTCCGAGTCAGGCTTGGGGTCCGTGCAATCTGGGAATTACTTTCAAGAGAACGGTATCCCCCAGAGATCGGTGATGAGTGTCACGCTCTTTCTGTTGGCAGTGAACGGGATCGCCGACTCCATTCCCCGGCAGATAAAAAATGTTGTATGACGACCTCTGTTTGTACCTTTCTGGTACGGATGTGGCTGAGGTCGGAGGGGTGATGCCTTCGGAGATCAACGCTGCGACTGCTAGCGCCGAGGAAACCGGTTCTACCTTCTCTTCGTAAAGACCGTGTGCTTCCACTTTGGCAGGCTGCGGAGAGCCCACAATAATCAACCTCAACTATGTTAGGTGAGAGCGCCGGTGAGGCACTTGAAGAGAATGCGGTTCCTCAGCCTAATATTTGATGAAAAGTTATGGTGGCAGTCACACATCGGATTCTTGAGGACGGCCAACGGGCTGGATCTAAACGCGCCTGAAACAGCTCGAACTCCCTGATTGTAGAGCCTGTCGAGCCGCAAGAGACGGGTTTTTCGGGCCGAAGAATAGGCCTTAACCCGTAGAAAAGTCTTGAGCAGAGCAAGGCTTCGAATACTTTTTCTAAGGTTTCCCAGTCCTCTCACCACCTGAAGTGACGAATATACTGCGACTTGGAATGCTGCCGTTAGAATCCCGGGGGGAGCTTCTTACTCTCGGCTCTGCGGCGGGTTTCTTGGCCAAGGCGGACACCCCTTGACTGGTACGATTCTGAAAAACAAGCATAGCCATGTATAAGAGAGATTCCGAACTCGGACGCGACCCCTAGGCATTCGCTTCGGCTAAGCCAGAGAGAGAGAGCCGGCTCTCACATTACACATTCAAGCTAATAAATAAATTCACTCTCAACACACGCTAGGGATACAAAACTGTCAGTGCTATATACAAGTTTTCCCTGTTTCCTGACAATCGAATCGGAACAGAAGACCAGTATACTTGCTGCTGTGTACGAGTCTCATCGGGTGGCATTCCCGTTTGCTGTCTATATGGAGCCAAGGAATTGCACCCTTCAACCAGGTAGAGAATATGGAGCAATCTTTCTCTACAGCAGGACATATATGCGGGTTTTGTCCCAAAGTTAGTGTCCGTGTGACAACCTCGCTTGGCCTATCCTCAATCTGGTGATGATGGCCCTTCTACCAGTCAGGCCCTTCGGAAGCTCTTGCAGACTATGCTCTAGATACGCGAGAGGTTCTGTACCGATCTGGCCCACCGACGCTGCCACATTCTTTTAATCATGTTTTTTATGGCATTTTTAGCGTCACGAGGCCAGATCGCGGTGGCCCCGCCAGGGGGTTGGGACGTCCGTCCTTAGTCACCTCGTCCTTTTCCGTTGCCTCCAGACCTTGTATATTTATATTATTATCCTCCATATTGATATATATAAGATTTCCTAATCGATTAGCGTTTCATTATTATTCTCTTTTTCTAAAATTTTAATCTCTTCAAAATTTAAGCTACGGCTTGTTTTAGAAGATATCTAAATAATAAAATTTAATGGTTTATTATTGTAATAAATAATTATTTTCTTTACAGAGACATTCTCAAAGTTCATGAATTTCGAAAAAGCCCCCGAGAGTGAGGATGGGATGGTAGGAATAAATGCTAGAAAATAATCGTAAGAGTAAAATTTAACACAATTAATTGTTTCAGTGTATGGTGGCCTGCTATGTAAAGAATATGGGCTATGTAAGTAATTTTTGAGGATAAAATTAATGTTAAAATTTTATTGATGGGTCTTTTTGCAGTTCCACGACGGCAAATTCGACATGGATGTCATTAAGGAAGGAAACAGGCAGAAATGGGATGACAATGCAACCGTTCAACTAGCTAATGAAATCGCCAAGGACTGCATCGAAAAATGTAAATAAATTTTTACCCAACATTATAATTATTTAATTTAAAAGAAACCGTAATTATTCATAGTTGGGGCCGACGATAATGAGTGCCACCTGGCTGGGAGAGTGTTAAAATGCGTATTTGACAACGGATACAAGGTGATAAGAGCATGACTTAAAAACCTTTTATGTTAATACAGAAACAGACATAACTTATTACATTTAATAAAAAATCTTTTTAGGGTGAACTTCCAAAACCTCAGAGAACATGAAGGCGACTTAGCTGATCGAATATGACATAACCTGGGAACATTAAATTGTAATTTTTATCATAATATAAGTTCACTTCCAAAACGTTTTCTGCATCTATATAAAAATACCTTCTCCCTAAAATATTTGAGCTTTGAAGATACACCACCCTGCTGTTGCGGATATGCATATCAAATCCTGCACGATCAGCAAATATGGTAGCATAAATCCCATCTGGCAGGCAAAAAATTCCACCCAATTCATTTTTTTTTTCTCGATAAAAGAAAACCTTACCACCTCATTGTTTTTAGCAATAAATATTTGTTTATGCTGTTTTAAATTGGTTATTTCAATTAGAAGTAAACACCTTAATCCTTAATCCAAAACAAGTATAAAGGATTTTTCAATGTTTACTTTTAACGGAATTTAAAATGTTTATTCAGCCTCATTTGAATTCTGAATATGAAACTGTTTAGTTTTCACGTTTGTTTTCTTAATTTCAATTTTTAGACTTAAAAATGCCACTTAGGCTGAGGACGTAGCGCGTGATGTGACACATTGATGATGGACGTTCCATCGGGTATGCGGGCTATTGCCATCGGAGTTCCCTAGAAACACATAACGTTTTTGAGAAACGGGGTCCTACCATAGAACCCCTGGACGCCCTAAAGTAACAGAATCACAGGATGATCGTTTTCTGACTGAGAATTTTGCGAAACCGGCACCTTACTGTTGGGCACCTGACTGATGGCTTTTCGCCCCAATTGACCAGAACACACAGAGTTGCACGGCTCGCATTTGCTCGAGAACACAGCCATTGGTCTTTGGACGATTGGTCTGCTGTACATTTTACAGATGAGTGTAGAGTTGCTCTACCATATCCAGTTGGGCGTGAAAGAGTGTGGAGAAGGCGAAAGGTACGAAGACTGTAATTTTTCCCGGATCCAACTTTCTCAACGTTCAGTGATGGTGTGGGCTCTTAGCATGTGAATGGAAAGGCGCACAGAGTTGGTTGCGGTTCGTGGAGTCAGACGGCCACTCGCTATGTGGATGAAATTTTGGAACATCATGCGTTTCCTATCATCGATGAAATCAGCGACAATCCTATTCTAATGCACGGTAATTCCCGGCCGCATTTCGCTCGCGTAGTACAAACGCACCTTCAACAGCACAATATCAGGGTCTTAGCCTGGCCAGCCCGTTCTCCAGACTTGAACCCCATCGAACATTTATGGGATAACCTCAAAAGACGAATAAGAGCACGCCCATCACTTCCTGACACACTCCTCGAGAAGAATGGGCTAACCTCCTACAAAGAGACATTTCCAGACTTGTAGCAAATATACCGAGGCGTCTTGAGGATGTAATTCTCGGCGACAAATGAAATGGCCACGAAGAGCTTTAGTAGCCAACTGCATTGTAGTTAGTACGGCTGGCGTTTTCTTTTAATAAGCCAAGGCCGCCTGTTTCTTGTCCCTGAGTATAAAGGCTCCAATTAGCTTTTCTCAGGACCCAGCGTTCATACCCTTAGGATAACATTTATGGAAGCTGGTACTAATAACTATACCAAGGTGGTCAGAGCCCAGGTTGTTCTCCAGGTAAAAGAAGGAGAAAAGAAGGCTGATGACAGTGAGAGGTCAGGAGCTGAGGGTTTATTTCCAGGTATCGGTATCAATGTGGGAGATCCATCATTCAGATAGCATAAACCGAGTTCATCTATGATATATAGTAAATTTCTACCAGGTTTATCCGAGTATGGTGGTGATGCGCGTTGAAGTCTCCACATACCAAAAGGGGATGGAAAACTGACCGAGCACCATGCTCCACTCCCGTTCAGAATGGGATGTCTTTGGCTGAATATACAATGATAGGATCGTCAGAGATATAGTAGGAAGTGACTGTGACAGTCACCATCTGGATATTAAACTGAAAGTTGTTAACAACGTTTAGCTCCTGGAACTCGATCTTTTTGTTAATTAATATTGCACAACCCCCATAGCCATCAGATCTGTCATTGAAATCTATCTGTCAACCAGGTTTCAGAAAGTATGGCTATGTCTATGTTTTCTTTTGTCAATAAGACCTCTAGGAAAAGCCTATTTTTAGGGAAGGAGCAAATATTCTACTGTAAAATATTGAGGTTTTCAAGATGAATAAACCCTTGATTGTTCATTTCATTTATTTAAAACAGAAAAAAAGGAAAAAAGAAAACTCATAACGAACTGAATGCCGTCTAGGACATAAAAGAAATTATGCAAAATATGTAACGACGTTAATATCATAGCAGCATTTGACGTGTAATAGGAACCCGACATTATATTTAATATAGCTATTTGGTTAAATTTATATACAATGTTATGGCTTCCATGTTCTGAGAGGGATGCGTATTTATTGGTTAGAAAATGGATAATATAATGATTATCTTGAACAGTATTATATAAGGCTGACCCAACTGTATCGATGTAATGGAATAACCAAACGCCCCTCAGACCAACACGTCAGCAAAGTCCGGCGGGTCCAGACGGCCGCCCATCATCTTAATCAACATTTCTTTAAACTAGTATAAAAACCATAATCCCCAAATATCCTTGCCTTACTCTTACGATAACCTTCTGCCCGTCACTCTGTCGGTTTAAAATTAAACATTGTACAGTTTTGACAATGAAGTTTCTTCTTTTGTTTTAAATTCTTCTTCAAGCGATTATTTAAATGGCGCCCGGAACAGGGACCGCGAATAGCTAAAGTTTTAAAGACGTGACCATTTGTCCCGCAGTTGCGTCCATTTGACTCACCGGAACTTTTAGCGTGCACATCGTGCTTTGATCGAGGTTCAAAGAAACTTCTCGTTAAGTCAAGACTGAAGAAATTTCTGCAGCTACCATTCGTCTCATGCAGGAGGAAACATCTTGAAAATCGCCAAGGACAGAAGAACCAGCAACCTGGAAAAGAAGAACACTAAGGTAGGAATAAGTAGCCATCTTTCGCTTATTAAACCTTCCAAATTAATCTTTCCTTCAAGCATGTCTCCAAAAATTAATTATAAAATCACAGAAGAAGACTACAATCACATTCCTTTTTTTCGATGGAAACCCTGCAGAACTAGCCTTCTTTTGTGAAATTTTGGAAACTGCATACGGCGTATTGTATGCAGAAAATATTATTGAAAGAGATTACAACCATATTTTTATTCATAAAAACTAAAAGCAAACTAATTGGACCTGCCAGAAATGTACTTATTTTGCATGATATAAATCATTTACTAACTTTAATTTGAAACATTTGAACATTTGAAACAAAATTTCTCTGATTCAGGGTAGCATTCAACATTGTACAGTTTTGACAATAAAGTTTATTCTTTTTATAAAAAGTCTTCTTCGAGCGATTACTTAACTTCGATGATTTGTTTTTCAGACAAGTTATTCATTCGAATATCAGTTAATTTTTTAAGGAGGGTAATATATTTTTCGGCTTCACCAGGGGCATACGGATTGTGTCCTAGAGTACTAGAAGTGTCTGTTGGGTCTGATGGGGTATTGGATGATGTTTTGGTATGCATTGTCCCCTTTTTGATTTTAAACCAGGATTCTTTGGATGGCTTGACCGTCCGTTTTACGATACTGGTGTCGAGGAGTTATACTTTGAGAAAGGGGAGGAAAATTTTCATTATCTTGGGAGTCATCAAGGTTAGCCAGAATATCGAACCTATTACTAAAAACCACCGACGCATAAGAAGTTTGAAAAATTTTTCCCGTTTTCTTCCTCTATTTTTTTTTATAGAATTCGCATTTCTTACTATTCGCAAATGGCTCTTTCGATAGAGTACGCAAGACGGATTATCGTCGGATTTTTGACAATATTTTATTAGGTGTTCGTCTCCACATTTTAGACAACGTAGCTTGCTTCTGCATTGTGCCGCCGTGTGGTTAAAACGTAGGCAGTTACCGCACTGCATGACTGGAGGAATATACGGGCGGACAGGTCAATAACTACCATATACTGTAACTGCCTCGGGCAATTTTTTGCCTCTGAAAGTTATTAGGCATGTGAGCATGGGAGTGACTTACATTTATCATCAATTTTTTCCCATTTGTTCATGCGATCAACTGATAGCGTTGGAACAATCGGCCGAATATTTAGCCAAGTCTCTTGTTCACTTAAGCTAGGGTCAACGTGACGAATAATTCCTTTTTTCTTTATTAAAAAATCGGGAATATATGTGAACAAATTTTGTTTTGTGAGAGCATCACATTCCATTAGGTAATTGGCTACCTGCCCATTTACAGTATCAATTTTTATCCTATTTTTTCCTACAATACGAATCCCCATAATGGACTCATTTCTAATAGTACTATTTTGGAAAAGCCATTTCCCAAATAACATGGGATCAACTTTACCAAGATTATTGTTATTGCCTTCTACAAAGACGAAAAAGGGGCAGGAATCTTCCTGTTGGAAACGGTTGTTGGCTAATTGTTGCTTGAATTCTTGACGTTTCATATCTTTATGTAAGGCTTTGCAAGGAGAATTGGGAGGGTTCATCTGGTAACTTTTCATTATGTTAGATGAAGTTTCTTTTATGAAGACATCTTCGAAATTATTTAAGGTGATAATGTCAGTTTTTCCCGAGAGGGATTTGCAAGGTTGGTCACCCCAGGGGGTTTGCCTCCACTGGAGTCACCCATACTTGGCTGACGACTTAGATGCCTATCACCAGTGGCTTAAAATAAATGAGAAGAGAGATAATAGGAAGAAAGAAAAAATATGAAAAGAAAAGCCAGGAAAACCTGACAATTAAAAAAAATTGTTATAATATTAAAACCGTAACCATAAAAGGAAAGAAAAATTTAAATAGAAAAGGAAAAGTAATTAAAAGTAAAAAGTAAGTTTTATATATATATAATATTTATTTATTTAATTATTTATTTTCTTTTTTTGACATTTGATTAATTATAAATTTTCAAATGTTTTCTTGGCAAACAATTATATTCCATATTGAAAATAAAAAGTTAAACGTTCGTTAAATATACAGATATTTATGTAGATGAGACAATAAAATGGATAAGTCAGACTAGGTTTGAAATATATAAATAGTAGTTATGATAAATGAAT